AGAGTAAACCCAATACTCCTTGCTGTTTCACTGGTAACATTGTTCACTAAGTGTCTAGGAGGTGAATATATTATCAACTAATGTTAGTTCTGGAAGACACTCTCTTTTTTTAACTATTTAATCATTTTCATTTTAGAAATGAAGAAACTGAAACGTAGAGGTTGAGTAGCTTTCCTGATGTAACACAAACACAGTCTTTAGTGTTGACAGAGGAACAGAAGGGAATTATGTACAGAACAGCACAGAGGACATTTGTTGATTTGCCTGTCCAGCATCTTTGTCCTCTCTAAAAATATAGCCTCACTTTGGTTTGAGGGTCACCATTCCTCCTAATGGCCTGTGATCCTAATGGAACTGAATCTTCTTGGCTTCAAGATTGGCACATGACCCAAGCCTGTCTATGCCCATCCACCTGGAGCTATACCTGTTAATGGTGGTTGCTGGGAAGAAAAGGTTTAAGTCAGAATGATGCTATTGGTACTCAAGACTCCATGATATAATGAAAAGATAATAGGCTACCTCTCTTTGGGTAAATTTCTTATCTGTCCTGAGCCTCAGTTAACACATCTGCAAAGAGAAACAATTCCTACCTCAGAAAACTGTTGTCTGCCTATAAAGAAATAATGAACATAAAATGCCTGGTACGCATTAGGAGCTTATGACTGCTGGTTCCTTTTATTCTCTTCCAACTAGTGTCACATGGATGTATCATTGTCATAATTAAAATGTAAGGAGGACACTGACAAACATTCCCCACAACATATTGGGAACAGCATTTTCAGTAGCTACCTTATGTGATTTCAGGGAATTGGAGAGGGAAAAGGGAGAGAAAATACAGCCTCATTTCCTGGAAAAACTCAAGGCATATCTAGCACTTGCCAAATGAAGTCCATAAGTCTGTGTCTGCATTCATCTGCTTTGTCACCTCTGGATAGATAAAGCGGGTTTCCTCTCTGCTCATTAGCCATTGTGTTTTGAAGATGGGAATTCTTTTAAGTCTCTGGCAGTCATTTAGCTGACAGTTCCATTCAGACGGAAATAATAGTAAGAGAGCATTTGCATGACACTTTGTGCTCTTAAAGCACTTTAGAATCCAAACTAATTAGCATAAGCACTAACATGCCAGAATTCATGGATTAAAATTGCAGCTTTCCAGTTATATTTGTTTTCCAGTAGAAACACTGTGACCTGTTTTCATTCACTAGAAGTAAAGAGAAACAACACAGGAATATGTTGTCTGTCTAGTGAGGTCACAAGTACTATAGGGGAAAAATGAGATGGGGGCTTTATTGACTAAACATTTCTCTAGCAGTGTCTATGAAGGTTTGTAGGACGGTACCTCCTGTTAACGTTTTCAAATCAACAGTACATACAGGACACGGGTGCTCACATAAAAAGAGGTACAAACTCATGACAAGATTCCACTCCACACAATATACTCTGTTCATTTCTGAATTTTAGTACCTCAAACTAGAAAATCACCCACTTGTTATTTAATTTTAAACCAAATGGCCACCAAAAAATACATGCACTTATACTGACATGTGCACACACAAAGATATGGCACACACACCCACACACCCACACACCCCCACTTCTTATATATAAATATATATATATCCTGTGTTACTTGTTTTTTGATATAGTCTCAGCTTCATCTCATAAAATAATTTCTTTCTTCAAAGACATTGTTTAATAATTTTAATTTTTCATAGTTTATTGATTTTTTTCCCAAAACTGTTTGTTGGGAATAGTGGTGCGTGCCTGTAACCCCAGAACTCTGGTAATGGAGGCCAGAGAGTCTTGAGTTCATGGCAAGTCTGTACTACATAGCACAGCTTCTCTGTCTCAAAACAAAACCATGTCTCTGAGGCCTGACTTTTGGAAGGTTTTTTTTGCTAGAAAGATATCTTTAAGTGGACTAGCTGTTTTTCTCCTTATACTTTAAACATATTGCTTTACAAATTCCTTGGTTTTGTCTTTCTTGGCAAGACATTTACTGTCAAAGGGAAGCCTTTGTCTTCTGGTTTTGAGCAATTCTATTACAACTGACCTTAGTACAGTATCATTTGTCTATGCACTTATTGGAATCTATTAATTTATTATTTTCCTTAAAAATATGACATGTCTTCAGTCATTGTTTTTTGAAATGTTCTCCTGACCTGCTTCCCAGAGATTCTAATTGCATACATAGTGCGATGCTTGCAGTTGCTCCTTGCACAGCTCAGTGACTGCTTTTATTTATTTATATCCCTTCGTCTATTTCATTTTGAATGGTATATTTTGTTAGATGATCAGGCTTATTGATTCTTTCTTCAGGGATATCGACTCTCCCATTAGGCTCATCAAATGTTTTGTCTCTGGCATATACTTTCCGCTTCAAAAGGTTTAATGTTATCCTTTTCATATTTTCCATGTCTCTACATAACTTTTTAAACACAGAGAATACAATTAGAATCACTGTTTTAATGTTCTAGCATAGGGACTCTCTCTCACATGTCAGAACTGGATGAGTAAGTCCTAAGCATAGCAACGCTAACATCTGTGTTAGAACCAAGTGGATTTCAGTGGAAACAATGTCTTTTCTATGGCTTATATTTTACTTCTTTGAATGTCCAACTACTGGATGCCAGACACTGTAACCTTAACTTGCTGTAGGCTGAATACTGCTTACTCTTTTATTTCTTCATACTACTTGAAGGTGATAATGAAGTTAAGTCACCTAGAAACAGTTTAATCTTTTCAGGTTTTGCCGTTAAGGTTTGCTGGGCAGTGCCAAAGCAACGGCCTATATACCCACAGCTATTCCTACTTAGGCCATATCCTTCATATTGTCTACCCAAAGAATGATGAGAATTCCCAGTCTGTGCAGCTTCCCTGCATGGATGTGGACCTTGAAACATGACTGGGTGATGAGGGATTAAAGAAAAAAGAAAAGAGAAGAAAAGACATGATGTATACACAGAAAAGCTGGGTTAAGTGGGCTGAGCACACTCTGATGGAGTGGGACCAACTATACCCACAACACAGAGCCCACAATACAGAACCTCAACACAGTTATGTACAGCACAGGGGCAGGGCTTAAAAAGTCTCTAGAAGGTCCTGGCAAGGGAACAGCTTAGGGCTGTAAACATCCTGAAGGAAGACACTGCACTTACTAGCTTTTGCACACTGTGGTTAATTGTTCATAAACTCTCATACTTGGACCACAGAAAGGCTTGCTTTGCCATTCTGAGCCTGACCCCTACAGAGATGGCTGTCCCATGAGAATGAGGCTTTGGGTATTTAATATGGCTGAACACATCTCAACAATACACACTCATCTGGGATTCTAATCAGTCCCAAGACATTCACTCAAGGTTTCCTCAGTTCCTCACACACGTAGTGCAAACAGGCACCATCCCTGACTCTGTCTGAGTAATTGGGTGCTGTAGTATTCCCTCTGGTAGTTTTTCCTGGCTCCTATTTTGCGTTTTTCCAATTAAATTCAAGAGACACCTGTGTGTCAAGTGTCTATTCTGTGTCAGGCAAGCTGTTCACATTGATTACTAGATGAGCCTTCTGATAACATGCAAACAACCAACCAACAAACAAACAGGTTCCAGGTTGTCCTGAGAAGTAAAACTCACACTACTCAGTTCCCGAGCGCCAGGTACTACTTTATAAATTTCTTCTGCATCTCCTGCCATCACACCCTCAGGCTGAGGTGGGTTAGTTCACTTTATTGTTTTATTCACTTGTTATAGGGTCCACGTAGATCCAACATAACTCAAACACCGAGTCAATGTAGATGACAAAATTGTATTCAGGCCGCTACTGATCAGTCAGGGCCGTAGAACATAGAATGGAGTCGGGAGGTGACGTTTTATCGGAGTTATATAGCATATTTAAAGGATGAAACCGTAAAGCAAGCGAGAGCAAGCAGGGTGGACTGTAGCTTTGTCCAGTCATATTTTGACTTAAGGGGTTGACCAAGGGAGTTTCCACCAATCAGGATAGGAGCTGGTTCCTGGGCCTGGGTACAGGAACTTAGTTTGACCCTGCAGCAAGCTGGAGAGTGTTCTTGAGATGGCTGGACTTAAACTACCATCTCCTTACAACTTTCCCTGAAATAGCTGGACTCAGACAATTGTTTCCTTATAAGTTGTCTCTGAGATGGCTGGACTCAAATAACTGTCTCCTTAAAACAGAAGCTGTTCAGGCATTGGGAAGTCCCCCAGCTCTCCTAAATCCTGGGACCTTGAACTTAGTTCACCCCTATGATTAAATGGAGTATGAAAACGAAATGGTAGTGCTTAAAACAAGTTTCTTTTGCTTGTTCCCAACACACTTACCTGTCCAACATTTACTGAGCTCCTACTATGTGTGAGACACTGCTGAACGCTGGGAGTGTAAGGATACCAGACAGGCTTTGTCCTTAAAGAAGTCACAGTCCGATTGAGAAGTCAGCGAGCCAAGGATTCTAACTATAAGAGAGACAGATTTGAGGGTAGAGAAATGCAGAGGCTGTATCTAAGTTCTTGGAAAACCGTTAAGTTCTTTGCTTCAGATTCCCAGCAATGATCTGTATGTATATGGTGAACGCTCAGGGCAGAGTTTAAAACACCAGTCTACCTAGCTCTATGTTTGAACAATCACGTCAGTTTTCTGAGTCTATTTCCTTATCCATAACATAAAATCCGTGAAACCTGCATCCATTCCACTGAGTCATTCTAATAATTAACCGTGGCGGGCGGGGCGGGTAGGCGTGTATATGTGTATGAAACTGAACCAGAGACATTGGCTGCCACGTGCACAGTTCACGAAGCAGGGTCTCTCGCCTGAATGGAAAGATATCTGCTGTGAATAATCCCACGTAATATGTGGGAGAACTGAGATAACCCACTCTATCCTCGGGGAAGCCGCTTTCACGCAGTCTCTGGGTCTTACACGTCAGGGCTTTTCCCCGGAAGTGAGCCACACTCCAGGCCCCGCCCCCGGTCCCGCCCCGTCACATCTCGCGGGATCTCGCGAGTACGCCTGCGTCAGGTGCAGTCATGGAGGTGGAGGAGGTGGATGTGGATGTGGAAGGAGATGTGGCGGCGGCTGCACAGCCCGGGTGAGGCGCGGAGCGGGGTCCTGCGGGCCGGGATGTGCTAGGCAAGGGCCGGAGGATGCGGTTGGCCGAGGGTCCTTGTGGACGGCGTCGGGACCCGGGGGTGCTCCTAGCCGGAAGTCGGCCGGGTCTGGGCGTGGACCCAGTGTTCCAGGTTGGACTGTTTATCTCTACTTCCTGGGATGCAGTGGACGTTTTCCAATTCGGATTCCTTCCTGCATTCGCTTTGTCTCAGGCTCCTCCCAGCAACTTGGACACTGGCGTCTAGTCTACAGGACCTGACTTCATAGACACTTGGTCCTTCGCCTGCAAGCGACCTTGGTCCAGTCATTTGGTTCCTCCTCAGCAAGTTGTTGAAAACTTGGGGAAAGGCAGCTTACCTTAAAGGATCCAGATTTTAGAGTTGGACAATTCATGCTTGCCTTCTGCATTTGCTCTTCCTGTTTACTGTCATTCTGACCGTTGTCAAGGCATTTTGAGGCATTTCCAAGCAAGACTCCGCTTGCTTGGCTTGGAAACCAAGAGTCACATGTCGATCTTACTGTTGTAAGCATCGAAAGAAATAATTATAAAAGATTTTAGCATATGTAAAATGCTCAACAGATGTGTTCTTTGCTGTGTTAGGGATAATGTAGTGAAGACCCAGTGAGGGATGTTGTTACATACCATTGCCTGCAGGTCGGGCAGTGTGATTTTAAACTGAACCTGCTTTGACTCGTGCCTTTAGGAGGAAGCAGTTTTCCTCCTTTTAAGTAATGTGGGCCAGAGTAGGACCTCACGTAGAACTTAGAAGACCTGAGTTGTAAATACAGCCAGGTACCTTACCTGTAACTTGTCAGCGACTTCATTAGAACTCTGTTGAACTACATGCTGTTAATAAACTGCACCATTTTCAGCCTAGATAATTCATTTGACAGGAGGGGTGCTCCATTGTAAACTACCAGTCCTCCTCTATAAGGGACCAAAATAAGGAGCATTTTAAAATAGCTAGTGAGCTCTTAAATGTAATTTAAAAATGAGGAGTAGTTAAGTTCATAAAATTATTTTCTCTAAAGTTCTTGGGCAGAGAAGTTCAAACGTTACTCGGATAGCCTGAGATAGCAATAACTCTTTCCACTAGTGTAATTTTTCAGACTTGAACAAGTGTTTGTGAGTTTGTGATGTTTGAGAATCAGTGAGCTAAGTGAGCAAGCACAGTTTGGAGTACATAAAGGAAGGAATTCACCTGGGGTTCAGTGAGCATTACCCAAAAGCATTAGCTCTGTGCCTTGTTCAAGGGTTTATCTTAACTTTTCTGGCTGTGTTTAGTTTTTCGTCCCTTTTTCTTGCACCAATTTCTTGACACTTGGGTCTACTGGTGGCATGTAATGTTAACTACCTGATGTGACATTAATATGTGACAGTTGACCTGGTCTCCAGGTTCTCCCAGCATCCCTTTGTCCTTGCCTGTTGCAGGGTCTGCCTCCTACCCTATTTTCTTCAGCCCAGAAGCTTGGCTGCCCTTCTCTATATAATCCAGCCATTTAGATTATCTGGTCCTTTTGGTTTACCCTTTACCCTGTTGGGCAGTCTCTTGTCCCAGGTGGCCTCTCTTGGTTGCAGCTTCTCTCTGTATTCTTACATGGCCTAGTTCAGGGCGCTCTGGATGCGCTGAGATGTTCCCACCGCTGCGTATGCTCTCCCTTTTATCTACAGTAAACTTTCTTCTCCATCATACTTAGGAACAGTCATGTCCTGTCGTGTGTGTCTTGTCTTTGCTCCCCTCCCCCCTCCCTCCCTCCTTCTCCCTCCCTCCCCCCCGTCTCTGTCTCTCTCTCTCTCTCTCCCTCTCTCCCTCTCTCTCTCTCTTTCTTTCTTTCTTTCTTTCTTTCTTTCTTCTTCAATGTATCAAGCCAGCAGGATTATGAAGGATGCTGCTTACGGAGCATCATTGACATTACTTGTGGAGTAATGCTGGAGTTCAAATCACGTTGAATTTAGTGTGACTGGTGCCCCTTGAGGTATGGTGTGACAGAGAACAATAGCCTTTAAGGAACTCTTGAAGATTAGTTTGAAACATACCAATTTTAAGCACTTCCTGAAAGCTAGATACCAAAATAAAACACTGCAATTTGGTTTTCCTTCAACTATTATTTCTTCTTGTCTTCCTTTTCAGAATGCTTTTGAACTCTAGTTGAGGAAAAATGTTTTGCCATAAAAATTGTGCTCAGTGGCCATTTCTAGTGACATCTCCAAGCCTGGCATGTTTCATGACTTAATTTCTGTCAAGTTGATGTTCTGCTGCCCTGCCATTCTGATGCATAAACATACAGTTCCTCAAATTCAACCTAATACTTGCTTTTATTTCCCTAATCCTTCTCTGACCTGTATCTGTGAACTTCTGATCAGCACTCTAACTAGAATCTACTAGCACTTCTGTGTCTCCCAAGTACCTCAGCATCACTATATCAGCTTCCCTCTTTCAGATCTGCCTCTGAGCTGACCCTAGTTCAGTACATGATGGCAGCATCCATCCAGTCTCAAGGCACAGACCTGAACTCCCTCCTTTTTCCTTCTGCCATCTTTCTACTCCCCCATCTAGTCACTTACTAAGTATCCTTTCAGATAACACTCTTCTTGCTCATACTGCCTTTTCTGTAGATACAAATGATTGCCGTGTCTCTCAGAATTTTTATAACATAATAACTTTCTCTACATCCCATCTGATTATGTTATTACCTTCAGTTTCTAATAGGCTTTGTTAAGTCTGGCCTGGAACTTGTATTGGACTCCTGATCCTCTGCCTCTACCTTCTACGTTCTGGTATTATAGTTAAGTACCACCATGCTGGGTAGTTTTGTGATAAAGTCTTCATTCTTTACTACAGACCTCTGTCCATTACCCACTTGCTTGTTTACTCATTCACTCAACTGTTGATTTCATCCTGTGTCGTTCCCTGGGTATATATAGCAGTTGTAAAAATGAAGTTCCTTGCTGTCATAAAATTATTAATTCTTGTTGGGTAGAACAGACAATAAATTTTTTGTCTGTGTTCAATGGCGGTAAATAGACAAAGGAGGATGAAGATGAGAAGCTGGCTTGCTAGCTTTTTCTCCTGCACTGATCCAGTAAAGCTCTTAAGGTGTGAAACTGTGGTTCGTTAGAGCAGAGAGTGGAAACAGTGAAGAAAAGGGGCAGATTGAATTGGATTGTGAAGATCAGGGCAAATTCAGATTTGTGGCTTGGACCACTAGGGAGACTGATGTTACAAGGACTAAGAGAGGAAACAGTGGAAGCCTGGCAGGTTTGAGACAAAAAGTTCTTTTAAGCTTAAGTCCTTAAGGAGATTCAGGTAGGTGTTCCAATGCATATACCAGAGTGACTGTTGCAAATCCTCACTATGGTAGGCCGCATGAAAATATTTCTGCAGTGAACTTGAAATGATAGTACCCCACCTCTTGCACTCTTGGCAGACCTAGCTGTTGGTTCTAAAAGATATACCTGTAGTGTTTATGCGTTCTTGTGGCTGTTGTGCTGCATTATAGTTCTCCCCTCATAGGCTGAAAAGGCAGAGCAAGTACTGTTGTGTTCAAATCTTTGTTAAGGAGAGGAAAGTGTCAACAACTGGCCAGCCCCTGTCTTATGATCTGTTGCTGAAAATGGATGCAATATTACTTGCCTACTTTTTGTATTTATTTTTTGTATTTTTTAAATTTATTACAGAAATGATAATACAGCATCAATTTTTCAAGCTCACTATCTTGATGCAACGTGGAGCAGGGAAAGCGGCTGTCTTGTAAGTATGCTAAGTTAGGTGACGTAACACTGCAGCTAGTTGCCCAGAGCGTCTTCTTTCCTTTTCTTAACTAAGGCCTAATTCTCCAAAACCATAGTGGTAGTATATGGAAACAATTCCTTTAAAAATAGAGGAACCTTTTTTTTTCAACTATAAAAAAGTGATATCTTGAGAAATAAGTTTAGATCCAGCTTGATGTAGGGACAGATCTTTACCACTCCTCACATTTGTCAACTTCAATTTCTTCAAATGGAAGATGGATATCACAGAGTCCATGTCTTCATTTAGCAGTAACAACATACTCATAATGCCAGACAGTAAGGCAGATTAAAGCACTGCAAGTGCCTTCAAGATAGATGTGGCTCTGCTCTCAAAGAATTCATAGACAAAACAGGAGTTGGGCAATACCTAGGCAGACAAACCATGTGTAAATTGTGTACGAAATAAGCTCTGTTGACTGAGGTTATTGGGTTGGGGGAATCCCTAAGGAAAAGTCAATAAAAGACACTAAGGAGGTGACATTTAACTTGAAATATAATGGGAAAATGAACGGATATATGAGTTACAACAATTAACATGCTAAGCTGAAGAAATAGTGACAAGTTTAAATTTTGGAAGTAAACCAAGACATTGAAGCATATAGCTTTCAATACAGACTAGTGGATTCAGTTTGTCAGATATGCTTTGGCCACTGTGGTGAAGAAAGGACTAGAAGGAAGCAGAGTAGAAACAGAGGGACTGGTTAGGACCCATTTGTAATAATTCAAGCAAGGTTTTAAATAGTGCCTTAGTCCTGTGTGCTCCAGAAAAGGTATGAGGGGACCAGTTTGAATTATATTTTGAAGGTATAGCTGTTTAGTAGATTGCTTATGGGGATGAAAGAAAAAGGAAAGAATCCATAGTGATTCCTGGCTGTTTAAATGGTATGTGGTAGTTGACAGTGTTCTTTGCAAAGTTGGAAAGGCAGATGGAGACATGTGATACTGAACTCTGTTTTGCATGTCTCATTTGAGAAGACAATTAGATACTCAAAGGTATTGTGTGGGTAGTGACAATAATAGTACGGAGCTTAAAGAGAGTAGAGTAGAGAATTACATAACTTTGAAAATTGAAATGATTATGATTATTTACTCAAGCTGTGGCCAAAGAAAAACAGACTTGAGTTTTGGAAACAGGTTAAGTGTTTAGCAAAATGCCTGAAGCCTAGGAGTTTTTTTGTGCATGGTGGCCATTATTATTGCTTGCAGGTAAGGGGTATGACCCTGCGAATCCAACAGACTTTACTGTGAGGCTTCTTCTCTTCTACTTAACATGCCACCAGTGCTGTAGATGCCGTTGTGGACTGTTTATGCCTGTCTCTGGGTGATTTGAGAATCAAAATGTATCTGTATATTTATCTAGTAAGTTGTAGCTGTTATTGTTTATATCCTGTCTTTCTCTCAATGAACTAAGATAGCTTTTTAAGTAATAAAGTATATATAGAGAGTTACACGTGCCATCTTTTGTTTTTAAATAGCCTTGGACTCTGGATAGCACCATCAGTGACGAGAACAGAGCTGTCATTGAGAAAATGCTGTTGGAAGAAGAGTATCCTTCATTGATTATGAGAAGAGCAAAGGTTTTGGGGCTACAAAAGGAATCAATGTAAACATTACAGAAGAGGCCACTGTAATTATTAGATGAGTATTGTTTGGCCACAGATTTTGATGGTGTAATTTCATGTCACTTATCTATGCAGAAAGTAGCATGCTTTACTGGTGACTCTGAGACTGACGACACATTTTTGAGTTTTTGTTGTTAGCCAAGTCTGCATGCAGTATAGGTAATGCTTAGAAATGATAGAATATTTAAGTAAGAATCTTAATTCCAAGCCTCCATTTTCACAACAATATAAGCTAAAACTGAGAGATACTTAATCTGTGCAAGGGTCAAGAACATGTGGAAATTCTCACATTACACTGTGCAGTTTACAGATGTTATATGAGAGGAATTTTAATGAAAAACAAAATAGACTCATTTTCCCCCAGAGTTTAGTGGCTCAGCAACTAACTGCTTATTCTGCTTCAGTTTAACTTGTTTGAGACTCAGTTTTCTTTATATATATAAAATAATACTGATTAAAGTATTTATATATATATATAAAATATATACTTATATAAATAAATATAAATACTAATGTAAATATATATATTATACTGATTAAAGATCACTAATGAATACTGCCGTATTTTTATCTTTCCCATGTTTATTTTATGGATCCCTGTCCACTATTGCTGCTGCTGTTGTCATTGTTGCTGTTATTATTATTATTGTGTGTCTTTGTTTGCATTTATGCCTGAATCTCTTGTTCTTGGTGCCTGTGGAGATCATAAGAAGTTGTCAGATCTCAATTGAGAGCTGCCATGTGGTTTCTGGAATCACACTTAGGCCTTCTGGAATAGCAGTTAGTGCTCTTAAACACTGAACCATCTCTCCAACTCTGTTCACTGTCTAATCCAGAATTTCTGTTATGTATTCCCAACTGCAAATTTGAATTTTTTTTCTGTATTTTTAATTGCCATTGGTTAGCCCCTTACTCTCCCAATATTATAATTATTGCTTAGATTATTCATTTAAATGAGAGGCACATACAGTCACCAGTTTTAGAGTACCATCATTTAAAATAAAATAAATGAATTTTTGTAACATATACTCTTTTAAAATATATCTTTAAAATTTTTGCTTATGTGAAAACATTGTTTCTATTTATGGTATGTGTGTATGTGCAGGGGCATGTTTGTATGTGCATGTGTATGCAAAGTCAGAGGTTGACTGGGGGGGGGTTCTGTATTCACTATCCACATTATTTTTTGAGGAGAGGATTCTTAGGAATGTGAAGACCACTGATTTGGCTAGGCTAGCTATCTAGTCACATGCTCTTGGGAGCCACCTGTGTCTGCCGCCCAGCGCTAGGATTGTATGTGCACAAACTGTTGCACCTAGCTTTGGACATGGATCCTAGGGATCCTGATTTAGATTCTCAAGGTTGTATAGCCAGCACTGATTGAGCCATCTTCCCAGCCCCAAATGAAAACATCAGTGTTTCATACAAGTCTTTGGAATCTACAGTACATTTTATTTTCTCACTAAATCTCAGTTAATGCTAGTTGTGTTCTAAATGCCTGATCTAGACATGGGACTAGTAGCCACCATATTGAACAGTGAAGTTCTAGGTTATTGAACAAGTAGTAGCTTGTTCACTTCCAAATGTAGAAACAAGTAGACTAAGAGTTACACATAAGCATTTAGAGGATAGGGAGAATATATATATATATATGTATGCGTGTGTGTATATATATATATATGTATATGTATATATGTATATATGTATATATATGCATGTGTATATATATACATACACATATATATGTATGTATATGTATATGTATATATATAGTAGTCTTTAGTACATGGCTTAATGTATGATATGTAGTTGATATTTGTTAAATGAAGAATAATTCAGACTTAAGGAAAAACTTTGTAGCAGGCTAGTTCCAGCAACACCAAAGGGAGTTACTTGGTAAATTTGATGTTACTTGTATTATAATATGTAGAAGAATCCTGAGTTCTTTCTGTGACCTTTAAACATAGAAACAGTGGTTCTCAAATTACCCTACACAACAAATTTATCTATTTTACTATTCGTATTTTATAAAATTGAGGCTATTCTCTCTTCGCTGCTTGTGGTAGGGAAGAGAAGGGAAACGAGCACTGTTGTGGCGCATACTGTGCAGGCATTGTGTTGGGTGTTTGCTATGTTATCATCCCTATAGGCACCATGTAAGGTGTGGACTTGCAGCCCTGGGGAGGCTTTTAGAGGAATAGATTTTGATTACATTTGAATGTTTTTCACCAGTCTGTCTACGTGATATCACATAAGAATTATATGACTTTAATATTGTTTTAAGTTTCCTTAATAATACATAGGTATTATTTATCTAATAAATCACTTCCAGGAAAATTCTGGGTTAATCAAAAGGAGGATGATAAAAAATACACAAACAGGTAAAATCAGTTTATAGTGCTATTAAAAGTTTTGAATTGCAGTTTTAGAAACTTCTTCACAAGCATCCTATTTTCTTTTTTCATGTATAGCCTGCAGAAAACAGCAAAAATCATGTATGTATCTATATTTTAAAAACCTTTTTTTAAAAAATAAAAATTATTTTTATTTTAATTATGTGTGTTCCCTTGTATCTCTGTATTGTTATATATGTGTGAGTGCAGGTGCCCATGGAGACCAGAGGTGTCCAGTCCATTGGAACTGGAGTTACAGGCAGTTGTTGCAGCATGATATGAGTGCTGGCAACTGAAACTGTAACTACTGAGCCTTCCAACCCCTTTTAAAACCTTTTTAATTCAGTTGAAAATTACAAGAAAATGTGTAAAAATTAGGAATGGTCAGTGGAAAAGCCATCTTGATTCAAAAGAGGATATTTTTTTTTTTTTGGTTTTTCGAGACAGGGTTTCTCTGTGTAGCCCTGGCTGTCCTGGAACTCACTCTGTAGACCAGGCTAGCCTCGAACTCAGAAATCCACCTGCCTCTGCCTCCTAAGTGCTAGGATTAAAGGCGTGCGCCACCACCGCCCGGCAAAAGAGGATATTTTTTAAAGATGGCTTTGGCACATATGTTAGACTACATAATTTTATGTCATCTTTTATTTGCCAGGCTTTTAAAAAAATATCAGCAGTTTATCACATGCTAGAGATTTTTGGGGAACTCTTTAGAAGCTGTTGTGGATTATATTGTGAATTGAGTTGATTTATGTTATGTTTGATAATTTTAAATGTGATATGTACAGTTTTATTTGATTCTGTGACTTCTAAATAATATTACCTAGGAAAGAGGCTGGGCATGCCTATAGTCCCAGTGGTCGGAAGGCAGAATCAGGATTTTCACAAGTTCAAGGCCATCTTGCTCTATACAGAGTCCCAGGCCAACCAGGGCTACACATCAATACCCAATCAAAAAACTTTCTAGAAAAATTAAAGATTCACAAATACCCTTTTTAATTGGACTAAAAGATGGTCATTATTCATTCATAAATGCAGGCTTGAGCACCGAGCAGACTCTGGCTTTTATATTTTGCTAAATAACAAAATGAAGTTAGTGAGAAGATGAAATTGGAGAGCTTCCTTAGTATGCTTTAATTTCTTGTGATACAGAATTTAAAAGCTGTAAATGAGATACCAAAGTTTTATGATTTAAACTCTTAGATTTGGGGAATATATTACTGCCCAGTGTTTACTTTCAGTCTGAAGAGATCTTCTTGCTATCAGAATGACTTCCTTTGATGTCTTTTAGTGTTGTGTTCACTCAGACCCAAGGATTGTATTGTTTGGGCTCTTGCATTCTGGAAGAGATATGGAACAGGGTAAACCTCACTGTCCAGACACCAGCTGCCTCAGCTGCCTCCTTCCCCTCCTCCTCCTGTAAGACTAAGAAGTCTTGGTTTTAGCCCATGACTAACAACAGTTCCCAATCCCCTTTCACAGGGGTTGCCTAAGACCAAACAGGTATTTACATTACGATTCATAACAGGAGTAAAGTTACAGTTATAACAGTGAAATGATTTTATTGTCGAGGGTCACCACAACATGAGGAACTGTATTAAAGGGTCATAGCATTGGGAAGATTGAGAACCACTGGTCTATAACCTTTAGCTTCATAAATATGGAATGTTCCATTTCAGAATTTTTTTTTTTTTTAACAATTCCTCTTTTCCTTTAGGGTACATTCTCCTAAAAAACCAGCCAATTATTCAGTAAAGTGGACGATAGAAGAGAAAGAACTGTTTGAACAAGGACTGGTAAATAGAGAAATTTTTAACTTGTAATAAATTATTCTAGGAACATAATTTTTTTTGTATATTTGGAATAAGAATTGAGTTCTTCCTTTTTCATTTAGCTATTTATCATTATGCATAATCCATATTTTTCACACACATCTTTGAAGACCAGAAACATTTTTTTGATATGAATGCTTCAGTGAAATCTCTTCCAGAGTACAGAAGTTAAGAAGTATAAAAAGTATGTGTGTGGTTCAAATCCTGAAAATATCACATAACATGGAAAGTGTTTAATAAAATAACCATTAACTCTGAAACTATCAAGAGTAGATTGTATATTTTCTTTTTGTGTACATATAACTCAGAATTAGTCTAAATTGATTTTGAGACTGTGTATGCATTATTTAGGTAGTACATTTATGGCTTTTGAATAAAATTAACATGAAATTATGAGAAGTAGAATGTATTGTTTTTAATCAGTAGCATGAGAGCTATATATTATGGTGTTTTAATACAAATATATAAATTATCGGGAGGTTTTTAAAACTTCTGAATTTCTTTTTCTATACTGATGATAGTTATGCTGGTTTTTATTCTATTATGTGACAATCTAATTAACAGTAATTTAGTCAGGATGGATGGATAGCTTCAAGATTTATCCCTTATCAAAGGTTAAATATGCATATGCTCATATTTGCAATTGGTTTGTGAACCTAAGATTCTTTGTTTTTATTGTTGGCATTAGTGATGGTTATAGAGACCACATTCATATGTTTAGAACTCGCACTTACCTAAAGTTATTGGGTAATAAGTCTTGCTCATTTCTGGGGTAGTCCGTTTTCTCTTCTATGTGTATATACTTCTAGGAATGTTTTGTCCATCTGTAAGCAGATGAGGATTTCTTTATTTATATAGATACATCGAAATTTGTGCACAGTAAGATATTTTAAATAGAATATTTTCCTACAGAAGAAAACACTTTGATACATTGGCAATTATTGGTTGTGTTGCTCACTTTTACCCATTGATACAGCTTCCTTACAGTCTGTGGGGCTTCTCTCAGGTGTGGGAGGAGGGTGCTGGGACTTGGTGCTAATGGTGAAGGAAGCTTTCATTCCGTCTGTTTCTTTAGCCTGGGGCTGTATCTTTACTGTAGTTTGAAACTGGTGGGTATTTCCTGTGCTTCTCTTGTTAGTATCACCTTTAATTTTCTTAATGTTCAAGCCCCTAGTATCACAAAGGATCTGACTTTATCCAGGTCCCTTCTATCTCTAAATGTGTTTCATGATACCAAGTCATTGACTTTTCACTCCAGTAGATAGAACTGATTCTTGAGTTAGTTAATACTAGCTAAGTGTTACTCTTAAATAATTCATAGTAGTTTTCCCAGAAATACTTTGAGTTTTAATAAAGCTCTTATCTGAATAACAGAAGTAAGTGTATAAATGAAGCTTTATCACTTGAGTCAGATCTTTAAAGATATCTTACTGCCACAAAGTATGGATACTTGGTCCTGGGTTGTATTTAGTTTTGGTTTTGATGGTTTTAAGAATTCTAAAATGGGTATGATATTGTTATCTCCTGTTGGAAATACCTTGTATTAGAGAAGATTTATATACTAAGTATGGTTTAGACTTGGTGTCTAAATGCCCATTGTATATCTAGAATTGTGCATTTTCTTTTTTGTACTTGAAATTCCTCATAAGACTGCTTAGGGCGTGGCACAACCTTTGGCCCCAGAATGGAGGCATTGGTTATACTTCAACGGTGATTGGATCTAAAAGTCATTGCACTGTAAACAGGACACTTAATAGGTATTGTGGAATACAAACTCTGAGTCTAAAAGTTGCAATTAGTGCAGAATGTGTCCAGTTGATTCTATAATATACATATACATATACATATACATATATATATATAATTGTGTGGTTTATAATTATATAATTATATATGACATAATTATACATATATACATACACACACATTAGACAGATACATAGATACACACACATAGATAGATACATAGATAGATACATAGATACATAGATAGAGTATAACTTGCCTCACTTTTGAACTGTTGTAAGTCATTTTTGTATAGTTTCCAGAACTCAGTTAAAGAAATTTGGGCTTTGATTTTAAACAAATAGTCTTAATAGATCAGGTTTCATTTTGTGCTTTAGAAATATACATTTCTTTTAGTTTTCTTTAATGTGGCAGCTGCTTGAAATATTACTAAGTAAGGTACTGCAAAGCAAATTTGTTTCCATTTTGATAATAGGCTAAATTTGGCCGAAGGTGGACCAAAATCGCAACACTAGTTGAAAGTCGCACAGTTTTACAAGTGAAGAGCTATGCCAGACAGTACTTTAAAAATAAGGTAAGCAGAATACAAATATCCTAAATAATAATGTAATTCAGGAAAGTCAGAACGTATAAATACTCAGTGCAAACTATAAGTATAGTCTAGATTGGTTTGGTTTTGATATTATTGTTGTTCCTCTGGAAAATTAGCCAGTACTCTTTAATTACTGAGCCAGCTCTCCAGACCAGTTATGTAGTGTTGATACTTAGAATTTCTGACTGGATTCATTTAAGCTCTAGAAGCAAAATTATGTAAAATTTGGAAGTGTCTTAAATGAGATCACTTTTTCTAATGTAAATAATGTTCTCAATATAGCAAAAAATTCGAATTAGCCTAGTTGTTTTTCACCAGATGACTGGATAATGAAAAATGAAATTACAAAATTCATAGGAAAATGAATACTTAGAATATATTATATATAAAATATTAAGCAAGACCACATTATCTCAGAAAGAGGGTGTTCTCTTTGATAAAGGCAGTCTTGTCAGTTATGTATGTATATAAGCAAATGTATGCATGGGTAAAATATATCATGTAGAAAAGAGCACACGAAAGGCTAAATTTCAGAGGATAAAGGAAGAGTACAGGTGATGGACATGAAATACGAAAGAGGATATAAAGCTAACTGCTTTTCTAGTCAAGTAAAACCAAAATTCTGTCAAGGATTCTTCATTTTTGGTGGTGCATAAGTGCATAAAAATATATTCAGTAGTGGAAATCCAGTGTGACACTCCACAGCTTCAGAATGGCTGCTCTAACTGTAGAAGCTCACTGAGGTGTATAGACTTTGGGTCTGGTTAATTGAGTCTAGCATAGAGACTTTGGTATGTGATGTTTATTTTACTTGCAAGTTGTTTTTTTTTTTTTTAAAAAAAAATAAGTTTATAAGATTTTTTTAAAAGCAAGTGAAAGTATGGTATCTGTTAACATGTTAATATTTTTAAACTTTATTTTGTGTAAGGTGATTAAACTTCAAATCTTAATATTATGTATGTTTTATTTTGATTCTTAATAAGGTAAAGTCGGGTATGGAGAAAGAAACACCAACTCAGAAGAGCAGCAGTGATCTTCAGGTTAAAAATAAAGATGAAAAGATGAAGGTGTGGGCAGCATCGAGTTTAAGGGGGCGTGCTGATCCCAACCTGAATGCTATAAAAATTGAGAAGTTATCTGATGATGAAGATGTAGACATCACAGACGAGCTAGAGGACTTGACTTCTCAAACATCACAGAAGAATTCTGGCAGCCATCTTACTGTAGATCTTCCTAATAGTAAAATGTGTAAGACCAGCCGAGGAGAATTATGCCAAGAGGGTTCATTAGCTAAGTCTTCAGGAGACTGTCTTCAGAATGTGAAACAAAGTGAAGCAGAAGCATGTTCAAGCTCAGAAATTATATCACAGGCTGAAAACCAAAACAATAATGGCAAACACTCAGTTGAATTAAATGAGAAATACAATAAACCGGTTGAAGAATACACTATACAAGGTGGAGAAGAACCAACAGAGGAAGCCAAGCACTCACTTTCTCCAGAGCCCTGTGAGGCTCAGAAGGACTCAAGTGGAAATGAAATGCTTTTGCTTCCTTGCCAAATGGAGGAGGAAAACCATGAAGGAGAAGAGCTTAAACCACCAGAACAAGAAGTAGAAATTGATAGAAATGTCATTCAAGAGGAAGAAAAGCAAGCGATTCCTGAGTTTTTTGAGGGGCGCCAAACTAAAACACCAGAACGCTATTTGAAAATTAGAAACTACATTTTGGATCAGTGGTAAGAATTACATTGTACATGTTCTAAAAACTTGATACTCTGACGTATATTGATTAAGCCCATATAGAATTGTGGATTTGATAGAGATCCAAAGAGCTTTTGCATGTCTTCCTTCAGTAGTCGCGATGTAAAGTTTCTCATAGTGAACCTCTTAAAAACTTCGGTAAGCAAGGACATCCATTGCTGTCACAGCACCTCATCCCTCTGTAGACTGGAAGCCTGGCAAAAAGGAAGTGACTGTTTTTTGGGTTTTTTTGTTTGTTTGGTTGGGTTTTTTTTTTTAGGGGCAGGAGTTTCTTGGGACAGTGTTGGGAAGCTGCAACTATAGAACATAGTGTCCTGGGAAAGGAGAGAATTTCCAATTTTCACATGTATTTGAGTATAAGTAAGGACAAACTTAGAGACAGAAATATCAGTACACATGGCTATAGTACAGAAATTGTTGTCTGAAATTGTTCTTCAGTGCTTGCAACTTGGAATGTGGAATGAGCACAGTTACTTTATTAAACCAAAAGACTACCCTCCTCATTAGCCTAAATATACTGAAAATATCTATACTTGTTTATGATAGCTTATTAAGCCTCCTTCAAGTGTCCATAGTTGCTATTAATGTTTTAGAGTTCTTTGGGTGGGGAGATTCTGAGTTGTCCTTTGTTTTCTCCTCTATCAGAGGTTTCTCTGTCCTGCTTCAGTGGCTTTCTGCTAGAACCTAGAATGCTACCTAAAATGAACATGTACATTGTTAAATAACTCATTTCACTTAGGTAACATTAATTTATGTGGCTTTTAAAGACAGCCATGTTCAAAAAAAAAATGTTTGCTCTTGCTTTGCCTCATGGTGATCTTGCACTGACAAAAATGCTAAAAAACCATCTTCTGGCTAAGGATGTCGTTAGAGTAAGGAGTGCGTAAGAGAAACAGCTGACATTTACCTAGTGCTTTGTGGTTTCCAGAAAGCTGCCTTGTATCATCTCATCTGAGTCTTCACAACAGTCCTGTGAAATAGGCAAATGGGATCTTTTCTGTTTGAAACAGATTAGCACAATTCTCAGAGGTTTAGGGTACCTGCCTTTGAGCTTTCAGCCAACCACTGACCCATGAAAGGTGTCAGTCCAACTCCCTCATTCTGTTACTCCACATTACCTAGTTGACAGCTTTTAAATGTAGATTAAATTAGATCTTTCTTCATACCTGGGTTTGTCTTTTAGAAATAAAAGGATGGATAGCCAAAACTGAAGGCCTTCAAAACAATGTCTACCTCAGAAATGTCACGAGTTGTGCATATTTAATGTTACTGTAGACAAATTTTTATTTGTTACACAGAATTTTGGATTTTAAATTAGCAGAATAAATTACATAGGTAGTGTCAGTTATATGGCAGTAGTTTCCTAAGTCCTTTTCTTTAATACACAAAGCCTATTTGGTATTGTTTAAATATGAAGATTTAATGGAAAAGTATGAAAGCAAAAGAAATATTTTTAAAGAACATATAAAGTACAGAACAATGCAGGTGATACTTTTTGTTTAAAAAGGGAAGATAGAGTTTTATAAACGAAGAGACCTACCAGATCTTTCTTTTCCATGAGAACAAAGGTACACTTGGTTTTATTTAGGGGTGTGTTTTTATTAAAGTGTTAATCAACTGTTAATAACATTATTCTACCACATACCATACATTATATTTAAACCATCTTCAATTCTCTTGACTTTCCTTACAAATGAAAACATGGACTGCACAGAGGATGAGGACCTGTTTACAGGTCTCCGAGGTGTGAAGGCGCCTTCAGCTTCAGTGTTAGTTCAGTATTTAAAGAGCTGTAACTCCGGCCTTACCTTCTCTTCCTTCAGAGCTTCTGGTGCTGGCTTTTTGACTTTTCGGTTCTGCTCAGGGAAGGTGATGTGTGTGGCGATGTTCCTCCCTGTTCTGGCATCCTGTATTTGTTTTTGTCATACAACTTAATACCACTGAAAATGGTACCATTCTGTGAATTGTCACCTACCATAGTCTTTTAAGAATGCAGGCAATGTGAAGACATTCTGTCTGTTTTGTTTATCAAGTGCCCACTACTTATGGCAGTGCTTAGATGACAGAAAGCATGTTAGTTGTTGGAGGAAGAAGATTGAGTATCTTTGGTGAACAGAAATGTTTACTATCTAAGCCATGAGTAAGCTTGTTGATTAGAGAAGACTGATGTAGACGAAGCCAGTTTTCATGCTCCCACCATTAGTTTTCAGTAGCTGTGCTCTTTCGTACATTCTTGTCATGCTTGTGTAGTTTGTTTGCTTTTCTTTCATGAATCACTGAAGTCTCGGCTTTTCTGTGGAAGTTACAGTATTCTCCTCTATCACAGTTATTTTCACTGTCTATGAACCTTGTAGATTTGTGGATTTTAATTTTGTAGATTTAGCAAGGCCTTCCCTAAGCACCCTATCTAAAGTAGTCTATGCCTGTTTGTTTCACTGTCTCCGTTTAGGCTTTTCTTTCTGTTTAGAGCTATTGTTTGATAACAAAATACATATTATTCCTTTATATATTGATAGTCTCAATTGGAATTTAAGGTCTTTGAAAGTAAGAACTATGCATTGCTCACCTCCCAGACTCTTGTTTCTACAACAGTGTCTGGGACATGGAACACAGATACTTATAGAATAAAATGTGAGCAGGCAATATCTGTGCTGTCAGTTAAGGCCTGGGACAGTGTCTGATCTGTTAAGTAGGTGCTGTAGTGATTCTGGCCAGCTTGTGTGCTCCCTTCTAAGATGGGATTGGTAAAATCGTTCTCATAGAATTAGGAAGATTGAGCCTGTGTATCTAGCAGTGCAGCGTTTTCCTGATCAGTAATTGATTTCTACTATTGTAAAGTTCCCTGTTCCTGTTCAAAGTACATTAAGTAAATAAGATTATTGTATGAATCTTAAATTTTATTGGGAATTTCTTGATTTCCTATGGAATCCCCCAGAATTTGTCTATTTGTTTTCCTTCTTAGAATAAGTTCTTACAATTAAAAATAAATATACAATACTTATAAGTTGTCAAATCCTTTAAGATATTTTACATGTGAAAAAAAGGACACTTGGGTATTTTTTTTTTGTTACATAATTAGGCATTGAGTGAAGGTAAAATTTTAAGATATTTCATATATTAAAAGTTTTCCCCAGAAATCCTTTTAAAAATGTTTCTATTCATCCAAAATAATTGTACTTCCATCTCTTAATTAGGGAAATATGCAAACCGAAATACTTAAATAAGACCTCAGTACGTCCTGGCCTGAAGAACTGTGGGGATGTTAATTGTATTGGACGGATTCATACATACCTCGAGTTGATAGGAGCAATCAATTTTGGATGTGGTAAAAATAAAAACCCAACAACATCTTTTACTTGGCATTTTTAAACCTTATAGCACCCATTAATTTTTATGATGGTTCAGATTCAAGTGGATTTAAGTATATGGAATTCAGAGAAAGAGAGTATAACATTATAAAAATAAGTGTATTATTAAGATTTTGATGTTAAAGAGATTTCTGCTAATTAAATTGGTTCCCTTTGAAGATACAGTTTTAAAGGAAAGTATTTTATCTATATAATAGAAATAATTCATCAAAAGAATTCTTTGTCAAGTAAAAGTAGATAATTTCATGAGAAATCTAAGAATAGACTATTTACTTTACAAATACAAGTTGAGACCACCATAACTGATAAAAAAATTGAAACCTTGAGAACTTTTTTTTTTGCTCATATTCCAAGATCCAACAAAGTCTAATATTTGAAGTATATCCGTTCTAACATATTTTGAATAAAGATTACTTACCCTGTACTGTTTTCCTGCTAGATATGCTTTCTAGCAATGACTAAACAAAGGAAATAGCTTATGAACCTGTATACTTAATTATAATAAAAGCACAAAATATTTTAATGAGACTGGTGAGATGGCTCAGTGGCATTTGCCCCTAAGCCTGAGACTTGAGTTTGATCACTGGGATCTACTTGATAAGAGAGAACCAACTCCCAAAAGTTGTCCTGTGACTTTGACATGCATGCACCTACACTTGTACCCACGCATACACAATTGCTTTAATAGTGAAAGTCTCTCATTCTTGGTTTTTCTGATTCAAAGTTGATGAGTAAACATGTCAGAGTGAATTCTACCCTATCATTGAATTTATGTGACAAAGCTCTGAAGAAAGCTGACGGTGATGGGCACAGGTAGTCATAAGGAACCAGAGCCTCCCACCCCTGGTTTTGGAGATGAGCCACAGAGCTAACCAGAAAGCCTCTGACAGATGATTTCATTTTTGTGTGTTGAGAATGTATAGTCTATATTTGGCTTACTCTTTCATGTAGGTGCTTTTGTGCCCCAAGCTCTGTGTAGAGACTAGCTTTTTAGGAAACTAAGTTATTTTAGATGCAGCCACAAAGAGATGACATACTGTTTTCTGTATTAAACTGCTAAAGTTAGCAAAATGGGCTCAGTGCTCATTTAGCCAGAAGTTATATACATTACTTATTTTTTAGATAATTGCTTTTATTGAGCATAACAGTAATATTTGTTTGAGAACTAATTGGCACATCAAATATATGGTTGTGGGATAAGAATCATGGGAGTTCAGCTGTAGTCAGTGTAGTATGTCTTCTAATTAACAGATTGCACAGAATAATAGATTGTTTTATCTTTCCTGAATTCCATTAGAGCAGGCAGTATATAACAGGCCACAACCAGTTGATAAAGTACGAGTGACTGACAGAAAAGATGAAGAATCAGCATACCAGCTTGCCTGGCGCCTGCAGTCTATGGTAAGCAGCTGCTCATTGAGTGGAGTCTGTATGGAATTTAAATGGTCATTGAGTGGAAGAACATGTTTTCTCTTGTGTTTCACCTTAGCCATTTAATTGTATATGAGACAGAAACCAGACTAGGAAACCCTTCAAATTAACTGGCAAAGTATGTAAAAACATGTTTTACTAAAGTGTTCTTGGGCTACTTGGTTTTGATTTATAAACCTAACATGCCAGGTGCTACAGAGATGGCACAATGGTTAAGAGTTGGTTAATGGTTGCTCTTGCAGAGGACCCAGGTTTGGTTCAGCAACCACATCATGGAGATTACAAGTTTTTGTAATTCCAGTTCCAGAGGGTCTAACATGTTCTTCTGGTTTTCTGGGTATTAGGCATACATATAGTGCATAGACATACATGTAGGTAAAACACCCTAAACATTAAGAAAACATAAAAACAAAAGCACAGCACCATACATACTAGCTGGGTTTGGTGGCATGTGCGTTTAATCTCAGCATTCAAAAGGGAGAGGCAGGCAGATTTCTGTGAGTTCAAGGTCAGCCTGGTCTCCACAGTGAAACCATATCTCAAAAACAAAATAACAGTTATCCAGCAAGTTTCCTGTAAGCCAGTCACAATAAGATCTCATTAGTTTCACATTAAATATGGTGACAGGCAAAAAAAATCTCAGACTATTTTGGCTGTGGACAATTTCTACCTGAGTTTGCTGTCTTAAGAAAGGTTCTTTTCAAGTGGCTCTTTGGATTATACAAGTTACATACCTGTCTTTGGAAGCTGGTCCATTTTATGCACCTCAGATACGATGTTTGCAAATCTAGATAAGTCATAGAGTCTACACATTTTGTGGGTTTTTCAGTGTTTGTATTAACTTAGCACTGGCCTTTCTAAAGCTGGGATAATCTTTTATTTTTTTCTGTTTTCACTATACCTTTTGCTGTCTGTTCTTTTCTACCACAGATAAATGAAAACAAATCCATTTTCTTTGTTCTTCTTTGTGGTGTTAACATATTTTTAATCTTGGTATTTTAGTTTCTAAGTAGTAATGGAAAGTAAAGTAAAAAGGAAATCAAATTAAATGCAGAAAATCATTACTGCCATGCTTTTTAAAGTGGTACACTGATGCCACCACCTAGGTCTTGCCTTGCCAGCTGCTGCTAGTGCCTACAGAATTTGGTTGAGTATCTAAGCAGAGAACTGACTGTTACACATGGTCAGTAGAATACAGTTTATTGAGTTGATGATCAGATATCAAAGTACTTAAGTAGTAGAGTTTTAGGTAGTTATTTTTTAGATTTTGTGTGTTCATGTGTTAAAGATTTTGCTAGGTTAATTTTGTTACTTTTGTCTTTATATTTTTTTCTTACTGTAGCGAACAAGAAGACGTAGGGTCCGAGATCCATGGGGAAACTGGTGTGATGCAAAAGACTTAGAAGGGCAAACATTTGAGGTAATTTGACCATATTTGTGGTTCATTCATGAAACCTTGTTTCATTATTTTAATTCCTATATATTATGCATATTTCATTGTTACTGTGTATATGATCATTCCCATGTTAATCAGTTTATTGAAAAATTGCCATTAACCAAACCAGAGGCAAATGGTACAGTTAACGAGGTCTGACTTGTGCTGAGAATTTTGATTCTCAATCTCCACATTGTTGTGTCTTAAGTCAAGGTGTGTATCGTATAATTATAAAAACAAACCACAGTAAATCAGCTAAGCTGCAGCATGGTCTCACCAGACCATGGTTCCTGCAGCTAGCTTGCCAAGCCGCTTGCACTTCCCTTATCATCTGTCTCCTGTGGCTAGCCTGCAGAAAGCCGGCTATAACTCGCTCGTCCCTTAGCCCCATAAAATGACAACACTAGAGACTTGTAATAACCAGCCAGATTTATAACAGTAAATCTCCAACCCCAAAATGCCCAGGCAAAGAATACAAAACTCATTTGATATAAATACAAGCTGTTCACCTAGAATGGGCAAATGTACCCTACACTGCTTATTGCCCATCTATGAAATCTCTAGCTGCTTGTGGCTTCTCCAGACCACATGGTTCAGCTCCATTTTCTTCTCCTGGTTCCATCTTGTCTCTCCATCTTGCCTCTCTTATCTTAGCTTTCCTTCTCCCCATCTCTTCCTGTTCTGCCTGGAAGATCCCACCTCCATATCTTTACTCAGTGATTGGCTTCCTGTTGTCCTTATCAGCCAATCAAATAGCTAGGGGAAATTCCCCTACAGATTTTGATTTTGAGATATTACAGATGTACCATTCTGAGGAGTTGATGTGCTCTATGCATTTCATTAAATGATATTCTTTTGAATGATGTTTGATAACCAATTAAAATACTCTTCTAAACATTATGCATATTGAATTATAGATATTCAAGTGTTATTTTTACCAAGAGAAGTTGGGACCCTGATAGGAAACATAGGCAACAAATATTGTACGTATATACACATCCACTCACATGTTCACATATAAAATTTGTTGTAAATAATTAGTGTAGTAGAGTGGAAAGAAAGTATTAAGTGTTATTAAGTATTAGCTTTGTTATCTCAAGTAGCTACTTAACTGCACTAAATCTCAAATTTAAATTTATTAATTTGGATGATAGCCCTCTGAAAGGATTTTAAAAGAACTGAGATGAAGTATTTTAAGATCCTAGTATTAGTCATTCAGTAAAGCTGCTCAGATGAGGTACTCAATAAATGTTTCCTTTCTCATGCCCCCTACCCGCCCCTAACCTTGGACTCTTGTTGGCATAACAATAAGTAATATATGGTTCCTTCCCATAAGGTTGGTCTAAGGATATGAGGTACTCCCAAAGAGTGTGATGAGGAAAGAGTTCACAAAAAATGAGATGTTTGAGCCAAAGGATCAGGAGAAGAATCATCTCAAAATGTAGATGGAAGCATTCTAGGCTGAGGGAGTTGCACAAGCAAAGGTACAGATATAGGAAAATACTAATATTCCGGGAAAGGTGCATAGTATGTGTAATTAGGGTGTAGGGGTGGCTAGATTATGGACATTCATGTATTTAACTTCACAGCCCACCATGACACTATTATTACTGCTGTTATCTGCTTCATAAAGATGTGGAAACACTGAAGAGTGATGGCTCCGGAGCTCGGTGATGGTCTCTCAGCTAATGATGTAGTAGAGCTGTACATTTCTGCTCCAGAATTTTATGGTGTTGAAGACCCCAGTCCATGGTGCCAGAGATCAAACCAGAGACTCAGGCATACTGGGCATGCTTCACCACAAACCTACCTCCTTAGCACTTGGAATCTGCATGCTTGATTATCACACATTCTTGATTAGCACACGTGATGTTTGAGTTAAGAAAAAAAAAATTAGCCACCTAAGCCCTGAAACTAGAAAAAAGAAATGATAGGCTTGAAGGTTTTTGAAATTTAATGACTGCTACCATTGATTGAAATGTGCAAATCAGAAAAAGCAAATTTTCCTTTTGATGGGGTTATATAATTTGACATAGTTTTAGAAGTTATTGTTCGGTATTTATTAGTAGCAAGGAAACAGTGTATACCAACTTGGTTGGTCTTGTTCTCACATGTCCCTAACTTATATTTATTTATTCTGCCTGAGTAGCTGATGAACCCTTCGATTTGCTGTTTTGTTTTAGCATCTGTCTGTGGAGGAGTTGGCAAGAAGAGAAGAGGAGGAAAAGTGCAAACCTATTAAATTTTCAAAAGCTTCAAAACTTCCAAAAAGGTACAATATAATGTAATGTATAATATGTTATATAATGTATTTTCTTAACTTAATACACGTGGTTAGAAAGTACAGGAAAAAATGCCCAGTAGCTGTGTTAGATACGTCTTACAAGATGTATCCAGGAAAATAGTTTTTTCTTTTTCCAGTGTGTGTGTGGGGGTGTGTGGGGGGGGGGGAGGTGCACGCACATGTGTCTGTGTCTTTGTATCTGAGCTGGAGGTTGATGTCAAGAATGTCCTCTATTATTCTCACACCTTATTTATTGAGGCATGGTCTTTATCAAAACTTGCAGCTTGACTGGAATTACAGCTGAGCTACTATACTCACCCAGCATTTGCATGGGTTTCTGGAACTCTAAACTCAAGCAGGCTCTGCTTACAAGACAAACACCTAACCGCTGGACCATTCTCTTAGCCTTGCTGATTACATTTTGGAACTTATTTTTAATTATTTTATTTAACCGATTATCAGTTTGGGAAAATTTGAGCTAGTGCTTCAAAGTTCTGGCATATTGTGTGTTGGGGATTATTGCCTGGGGGAACCTGTGTATAATAGGAGTCATTCAACCCTAGACATAGTCAAATAGTCTCATTTTCTGGTTGAATTTTCACAAGTTGTTGTGGAGTTTGTTGTTTTTAATGTGATACAGTAAGCTGAAATTTGTAATTTGCAAAGTTGTCTTAGTCAATTGAGTTCCTTGATTTTCTAGGCATCTTACTTCTGCAGATGCCCCAGTAAGTAGACTTCAGTTTTGGCTTCTCACTTTTCAAAGCAAGATGTTGAGAAATGCTGTTGCAGTTATATTTCCTTTGCAGGGCTTGGGTCCTCATTTATAAATTAATTAAAGTAGCTACCACTGTTTGCTGTGTTTAAGTTCTTTATGTGAACATAGTTAATCCCTTGACAAACCTTTGCAACGTTAGTGTCACACCCATTTACCTATAAGATAATGGAGCGGCAGAGAGACATTTGGTTGTGCTGCTTAGTATAGAAGTTGTGATTTAAGCCCAGGCTTAGAAAGGCCCAGGAGTCCTTAGAACTGGTACTATAATTCTGTTACCTCTCCAAAATGCAAATTTAACCTTACCCTGTGGGCAAAATGCACTAAGAATTTTTTTTTTTTAAATCTTTAGTAAGCCTAGACTCCTTCTAATATTTAGACATTTACTATTCTGGATCTAGATGTGAGACTTAGATTTATTGTGATTTTTAAATTGTTCTGTGTTGTGTTTAAATCACTGCATGGTTTTCTTAGCTTTGTGATCTTAGCGTGCATTGATTGATTGATTGATTGATTGATTGATTGATTTAGCAATTTAGCATTTCAATAAAGGTACTGTTTCTACTGTTGATCACCAAATAAAAAGGTCTGCTGGAATAAGCCTTGGAAATCATACTTTAACACAGTTTCATACACAAATCATATATATTTTGCTTAAAACTAAGATTTAAAAAAAATTGTAGTGTCTTGTTTACAATAGAGCATTCCCACCAAAAATGTCTGTGCACTTGTAGTGTTTATTTTTCATGACCCATTAATATTAGTCACCTCTTTGCTTTTCTAGACTGTATCGGTATTGAGTATCTAACACCTCTGTTTCCATATCTGCTTTTGTGTTCTGTCTATTAAATGTCTCTCTAGCTCTCTGATCTTCCATCTTCCGCAGCCCTTCAGGAAACAACAGCCTGCCTGTTCCTGTCTGTGCCGGTTAAATTCAGAGACATTCTTCAGTCTATTTGCTCTTCAACATTTATACAGTCCCACTCCATCTCGGTCTGCATTGTTATTTTTGTTTGGTTTTATTTAGCTTTGTGTGTATGGCTATTTGACCTACATATGTTTAAGTGCATGCCTGACAGCCTTGGCAGCTAGAAGAATCTGTTGGATCCCTAGAACTAGAGTTACAGATGGTTGTGAGGGACCGTGTGGACACTAACAATCAAACCTTGGTCTTCTAGAAGAGCATCCATCTGCTTAACCTCCAAGCCATTCTCCAGCCCATAAAGCCTTGGGGGTGGGGAAAGAGGTGTCATTTTATGTTGTTGGTTTTCATACAGGAACTGATATGTTCCAAAGTGGCCCCAAATTTGATACATACCTGAGGATGACTTTAAACTACTGCTCTTCCTGCTTCTGCCTCCAAAGTGCTAGGGTTACAAGCATGTCCTATCTCACCCACTTTTAAATTACTTTAAAGATTGTCTTATTCATTTTTAAAAATTTCTGCATGTTTTGGGCCCTGGTGCACAAGCCTGATAGAACAAAGTACCCTCACAGACTCTGTTGTCAGTTGGGAATTCAACGTGCTACCCTAAGTTGTCTAGTAGAAACATTTCTGATTGATTTTCTTTCTATAAACATTGTTCCAATACCTGGAGATTAAAAGCACTTACTGCTCTTGAAAAGAATCTAGGTTCCGTTCCCAGCACCCACATGGTGGCTCACAACTGTCCATTACTCCAGCTCCAGGGAATCTGACATCCTCTTCAGACTGTCATGGACACCAGGCACACACCAACTTACATACCTGCCTTAAGCCAAAACACTGATACATATAAAGTAAAATTTTATAAATCTAAAACATTAATAATTTTTAAAAAATGTTCTGCTATTTTTCTTAAAACTTAATTTTTAGTGGTCAAACCTTTCTTAGTGTTTCTTTCTGGTTCCACACATGGCTTTTAAATCTAGCCTTGCTTAGAGTCTCCTCTCCATTTCTTTCCATTTTGAAATAATGTAGGGCTTTCTGTTTATATTAATTTGGTTAGCAGACTTGTTACTTCCTAATTTAAAAAGTATTTATTGATTCTCCATTGTAGTGGATCTATTAGGATAGTGATGGTATGTGCATGTGTATCTTTTGAGATAGTCTCAATAGAAGTCCCTGGTTGGTCTAGAGCTCACTGTGTAGACCAGGCTAGCCTCTGTGTACTGAATAGTGGGATTAAAGACATACATCATAGCACTCAACCTGGCCAGCTTGTATGAGAAACTTCTTACTTGAACTTTCTGTCGGGTCTCCTTGGGGAAATAGTTGTTTCACTGCAGTGTTAGTATCTCTCTGGTCAGCTGAAAAGCTGTGTTTGTTTATCATGAATTTCCTGCTTTCTTAATATTTTTTCCTTCAGGCAAAAGTTTGGATTTTAGTTTTTCAAATTAGTGATTAATACTTTTTATTGCTCCCCTTGAGACTGTATTAATTTTTTTCTTTTTCAGCTCATTTGATCCCTTTCAACTGATACCTTGTAATTTTTTCAGTGAAGAAAAGCAGGTACTTACTATCAACGAGTGCTCATAATGCCCCAGTTGGATGGGAAATACCCTTTATCTCTGTGTGTGTGTGTGTGTGTGTGTGTGTGTGTGTGTGTGTGTGTATATATATATATATATATCAGGTATATAAATTAATTTGACATGGCAGGGTATATTAAGGATCTGGCGAATGAGTCAGGCAGAAAATGAGCAGAAAGAGAGTAGTTTCCTGCCGGGGCTTTGAAGCTTAGGTGTTTTAAAGTCTAGTTTGCAATGGACTTTGATCAATAGTGAGACCTTGGTGGGATGGGTAAGGAGAAAAGATGGATATTCCTATCAGAGAGAAAAATCTCTCTTTTTATGCTTTCCTTCTCTTCTTTTTATATTTCAGGAACCATTTCAGGTGAAAATAGCTTCAGAAGCACTTTTAATAATGGATTTGGTAAGGATAACCTATTGTGCTTTACTTATTTCTGATTTTTGTTCTTGTATTTTTTTTTATAGACCTAAGAGAAAGTGAAAGACATATATTTCAGATTTTAACTATTCTTTTTACAAGGAATTGAATTTTTCTTCTGAAGGAAGGCCAGACAATTGCATGTTTCCATAGTTTAGAAAAAAATGATTTCATGTGAGTTTTGCTGACTGTCTACCATTTTGTAATAACCAGTGTCTGCCGTCCAGTAAATGACCAAAGTTCCACATTGTCTAAAATACAGAGGCCACTTGTTTGTACTCAGTACCTGCAGACAGACACCTCTACCGATTGTGTGTGCTAGTGCTGGTTTTCTACAGGAGGTTCTATAGGGACTTACTTGTGTCCCTAGAATGCAAGTGGTGTCTTCCTTTTTAAGTGAACAAGCTCCATCTTCCGGTATGTGGTTCTAAGTCTCTTCGGCAACAGGAAGAGTCTGAAGTCTATGTCCACTGCAGCTCCCTGCAGTGCCTCTCCTTCAGAGCTGTACAGTCACTGCACTGACAGCATTGTTCATGATAGTGAGGCCAGTGTGACTCGAGAGCTGTGTTTGTGGATGTGGTCTGAGTCTGCCCTCATGTTTCCTTTAGCATGCCCACGTGTCTATGGCAGAGGTGATTGGCCTTTTAGGAGGAAGATACTCAGAAGCTGATAAGGTCCTTGAAGTAAGTCTTCTTTTTAAAACATTTCAGTTACCAGCTGCTATACCAAATATTTTATAGAAATCAGAAACTATAATGAAAATATTGATTTGTATCTCTATGTGTGAGAATATGCAAGTATATAAAGTTATATATTCAGAAATGACTTAGCGTTCCATATACTGAGCATCGGTTTTCTGTGAAAAGGGAGAGGATTCTGCCAGCCTTGGCTACACACTACTTTCACCAGAGAAAAGCTACAACTAAAGGCAGGAATGTTTGCTAGTCTTGTGGGTAAAAACTGGTATTCCTCATTCTGCTGAAATTATTTTCATATGTAATAGGAATTGTTGAAATGCCATTGGGTAGGCATGGTGCAACCTGAAAAACTAACCATTATCATGCCTTCTAGATTAGAAAAGTGCTAGCTAAATTTCTAGCCTACAGTCATACTTTTGGAGTTTATTTTATTTGGCAAGTAATCCAATAGATTACACTATAATCATGCAAGAACAATCTTTCACAGGTCTGTGCAGCAGAACCATGTAACAGTCTGAGTACAGGACTTCAATGTGAGATGGATCCTGTATCACAGACACAAGCCTCAGAAACCTTGGCTCTTAGAGGCTACAGTGTTATTGGGTGGTACCATTCTCATCCTGCATTTGATCCTAATCCGTCTTTACGAGATATTGACACACAAGCCAAATACCAGGTGTGTTTATAGTGTTACATACCTACATTTTATAAATTATTACACATCCACTTTTGATTTCTATGGAATAACATTATTATTTTTAGCTTTATATCTCTAATATTCTTTACATATGCAGTTTTGATATAATTTGCTTTTTTTCCCATGAAATTACATTAGTAAGCATTTGTAAAGTCAGTAGTTGAGTATAGGCAGGTTTCTTTGTTGTTGTTATTCTTTTGGATTTTTTTTTTTTTTTTGTCTTTTAGTATAGACAAGATTATAGAGCCTTTAAAAAACCAATAGTATGCAACAGGACAGGACTTGTTGTAACTGTAGTAGTCGAAAGCATTAATACCTCTCTTGGGAACAAAAAAAAAACAAGTTTTATTTTATTCAATTTTTATGTTTAATGTGTATTTTCTATGTAGGTAGCTATTTGTAACTTATTGGTATGTTAATAAGAATTATAGTGAAATGATTTCACATTATGGTATGCGAATGCATTTGTAGTATTTGCTTCATTTTGTTTGACAATGACAATTACTCTGTGGCCCTTCGTTAGCCTAGAACATGTGGTAGTCCTCCATTCTGTCTTGGCCTCTTGAGTCCTGAGATAGATATGTATCACTATCATACCTAACTAATAAATGAGAGACCTTTTGCTGCCTTTTTTTTTATTGGATATCTTCTTTATTTACATTTTAAATGTCCCCTTTTCCGGTTACCTTTTGTTTTTAACTTTGCATTTATGTGTGTGTGGTGAGGTTCACATTCCTATGTGCTTGTACACGAGCCAGAGGAGAACATTGAGTGTCTTGTCACTTTCCATTTTATTCCCTTGAGATGAGATTTCTCACTGAACCTGTCGCCAGGCTGGTACTCATCAGTGCCCTTTCTCCCCATCTCCCTCTCCAGCACTAAGGCTCCAGGTTCCATATGCATGGAACTCTACACCAGGTTTATTATGTGCATTCTGCATGGCTGAGTCCTGCTCCTCCTGCTTGCATAGCAGCTACTAAGCCATCTACCGAGCCATGCTGCATAGATTATTTTAAGGATCATTTCTGGTGAAAAGCAAAGACTTTGGGCCTGAAAATAATACTTAAGGCATTTCTTTCGGTTGCTGCTATTTGGATGGAGCCCTTTTCTGTTTTCTTTTCTCCAGTTAGCTGTGTAGAGCATTGATAGTTGAAATTAATTATACTTTTCTTATCATTGCAGAGTTACTTCTCCAGAGGAGGAGCAAAATTCATTGGAATGATTATTAGTCCATATAATCGAAGTAATCCTTTACCATATTCCCAGATTACTTGCTTGGTTATAAGTGAAGAAGTTAGCCCTGATGGTACCTATCGTAAGTTGTCAGCAATAATAAGTTGTTGCTATCTCTATCCTCAAATGAAAGAACTTAGAACTGTAAAACTATTTAATGAGATAGATTGTGAATCAAGCAAGGACTTGATGGATGCCACCTAGTTAAATCAACCTCCTTCCTTTCATTCTAATGGTCCATGGCCTTAAATAAAAGGAAAAAATGTAGAGCAGTTCTAGAGCAGGCAGTGTATATGCTGAGCACTGGAGGCCTTGTGTAGCATGGGCTGTACATTCTGGGCACTGGAGACATTGTAGTACATAAAATATAGTTCTCATATCATGAAAACATTTTCATAAATGCAATCTTGCTTTCCCTGTTGTGCCATGTAAATAAAGGAAAAACAAAACCATAACCCCAGCTTTCTATCACCTCCCAGGATTTTAGGCTTCCCAAAGACAGACTGACTTCAGATTTCCTAAGTCCCATCTGTCTTGACATAGCCCATTACCCAACTTGGTTTCTCTGGGATGTGTGCCTCCTCTATGTCTCCTTGTGGTTGTCCCAGTCAGCTCTGTCTACATAGGAATTAATACAGCAGACCAAGAAAGGCAGGGAGGGAACTTTGGTGGAAAGGTATTAGTGGGAGACTCAGATCTTCTCTGTGTGCAGTTGTGTGTGATAGGCACATGCAGTGTTGAATCAGGACATCTTTGTCACTAAGTGCTGTACTGTACTCACTTTTTCTATCCAGCATCTAGCACAGAACCTGACATAAAGTGAATTCTAAATTAATGTTTGCCTAATAATTAATTACTCTTTATTCTTAATCTTCTTTAGTGTCCTATACTTCATAGTCTTTTCAATTCTGTTGACTGCTAATATATCTTTTTTATATATAAATCTGCAGTGTTTTTCTGCCTAATGACCACTTTGTCTCTTAACGCAATTTATTGTTTTTGTATTCCTAGTACCAGCTAATCAGCGCTGAATTTTTTTCAATCACAACACTTTCTTTTCTATACTTATGCCTTTACTCATCCCCAATTTGTATTTTTTTAATTGGATATTTTATTTATTTACATTTCAAATGTTATCTCCTTTCCTGGTTTCCCCTCTGCAAACCCCCTATCCCATCCCCCCTTACCCTGCTTCAGTGAGGGTGCTACCCCATCCACCCACCTACCTACCCACTCACCAACTCCTGCCTCACCGCCCTAGCATTTCTCTACACTGGGGCATCAAGCCTTCACAGGACCAAAGGGCCTCCCCTCCCATTGATGCCAGATAAGGCCCCTTCAGCTCCTTCAGTCCTTCCCCTAACTCCTCCATTGAGCACAGGGATCCCTGTACTCAGTCCAGTGGTTGGCTGCATGCATCCACATCTGTATTGGTCAGGATCTGGCAAAGGCTCTCAGGAGACAGCTGTATCAGGCTTCTGTCAGCAAGCACTTTTTGGCATCTACAATAGTGTCTGCGTTTGGTGTCTGCATGTGGGATAGATCCCCAGGTGGGACAGTCTCTGGATATAGCCTTTCCTTCAGTCTCTGGTCCACTCTTTGTCCCTGTATTTCCTTTAGACAGGAAAAACAATTCTGGGTTAAAATTTTGGAGAGTGGTGGCTAGCCCCATCCTTCAATTGGGGGGCCATGCCTAACCTCTGGATATGGTCTCAACCGGTTCTCTCTCACCTTTGTGGGGAATTTCAACTAGGGTCATCCTCGTGGGGTCCTGGGAGGCTCTTGTTTTCCTGACATTTGGGACTTTCCGGTTGCTACCCACAGTTCCCCATCCCCCATTGCTACACACCTCTGTTCAATTTCCTGACCCTCTGTACATCTCCATCTCCTCCTTTTCCTGATTCTTCCCCCTCTTTTTTCTTTCCTCTCTTCTCTTCCTCCCAAGTCCCTCCTACCCTCTACTTCCCTTGATTATTTTGTTCCCCCATCTAAGTAGGACTGAAGCATCCACTCTTTGGTCTTCCTTCCTCTTGAGCTTCATGTTGTCTGTGAGTTATATCGTAGGTATTCCACACTCTTTGCCTAATATTCACTTATCAGTGTGTACATACCATGTGTGTTCTTTTGTGACAGAGTTATCTCACTCAGGATGGTATTTTCAAGTTCCATCCATTTGCCTGTGAATTTCATGAATTCATTGTTTTTAATAGCTGAGTAATATTCCTTTGTGTAAATGTACCACATTTTCTGTATCCATTTCTCAGTTGAGGGACATCTGGGTTGTTTCCAGCTTCTGGCTATTATAAGTATGACTGCTATCAACATAGTGGAGCATGTGCCCTTATTACATGTTGGAGCATCTTCTGGGTATATGCCCAGGAGTGGTATAGCTGGGTTCTCAGGTAATGCTATGTCCAATTTTCTGAGGACCTGCCAGACTGATTTCCATAATAATTGTACCAGCTTGCAATCCCACTAACAGTGGAGGCATGTTCCTCTTTCTCCACATCCTCGACAGTATCTGCTGTCACCTGAGTTTTTGATCTTAGCCATTCTGACTGGTGTGAGGTGGAATCTCAGGGTTGTTTTGAATTGCATTTCCCTGATGAATAAGGATACTGAACATTTCTTTAGGTGCTTCTCTGCCATTTGCATTTCCTTAGTTGAGAATTCTCTGTTTAGCTCTGTTTCCCATTTTTTAATAGGGTAATTTGGTTGTCTGGAGTCTAACTTTTTGAGTTCTTTGTATATATTGGATATTAGCCCTCTATCAGATGTAGGATTGGTAAAGATCTTTTCCCAATCCGTTGTTTGTCGTTTTGTCCTATTGACAGTGTCCTTTGCCTTACAGAAACTTTGCAATTTTATGAGGTCCCATTTGTCGATGCTTGATCTTAGAGCATAAGCCATTGGTGTTCTGTTCAGAAAAATTTCCCCTGTGCCCATGTGTTCAAGGCTTTTCCCCACTTTCTCTTCTATTAGATTCAGTGTATCTGGTTTCATGTGGAGGTCCTTGATCTACTTGGACTTGAGCTTTGTACAGGAAGATAAGAATGGATCAATTTAGCACTGAGTTTTTATTGACTGATAATATCAGTAGTAGTCCAGAATGGCATGCTAAGTACAGCACATAATACACATAATTTTTCAACTTAACTCAAATTTATAAAAGTTATAAAAGAAAGCATCCCAATAAACTTGCCTTTTCTTTTAGTCGCATCTCGGTCTTCTGGGTTTTGACCATGAGCCTCTCAATTCCAGTCATTGCTAATACAGTTAGTTGATATTGGATATGTGTGACTGTACATTTAAATATTATAATTTAATAATTTAAAACATATGTGAGTCTCCTTTTTGCCAAAATGAATTAATAAGGACTTTTTTGAAGCAACCAAAATAATAAGCAAATTATTCAAAACTATTTTATTTAGGATATAACTCAGGCTGTGATCTTCAAGTCATCTTCTTTGCATGTTTTGGAAACCATCTGGCACAAGAGTTGAGGTAGTCTAGAAGCGTTGAGATGACTGTACTTCCCTACTTCTAACCCAGGCTATACTCTAGAATGTCTCTAATGGCTAAGCATTTCCTGAACTTTAATCACTAAGTATATTTTGTAACTGATCAGTTTTCTAATACCTTGGTGGATAAAAATACTCTGAATAAAAGGCAGTTTTTACTTAGGTGACTTTTTTAAATAGAATTTTTCTTAATCATACTACATAGTTATGTATGGTTGATCCACACATGTGCATGTTTTCTGTCAGCCCTTCAGAACCGTGTAGTATTTATTCCCACTTTCCATTTTAATTAAGAATAGGATCACTCAGCTATTTTTAGATCCTAGCTCTGACATTCACCATTTATTTTGTTGGACTTACACTCTCATTTGTCTCTGATGCTTCTGTTAATGGGGAACAAAATTACCTTGTTTACAGAGACAGTATTTGCAAGGACTGTAGCATGTACCAGGGTTTCAGTAGGTAGTTACGGTAGCTGGCAGCTTTGCTCTGTAGGTATGTTGTCTTCACCAAAGCAGACTTACTCAGTGACCCCTGCACCATGTCATTGCTCTTCAGGTGCTAGAGGAGAGAAATAAAAAGAGAGGAGAGGAGATCTGAGAACTGCAAAGAGCTCTAGTTATCCTTAGGCTTGCTGTTGCTTTTCTCTCCCAAACCCCTCTTTTTTGTATATTGATAGTTAGGCCCACCTTTGTTTCATTGGGAATGTGCCATTGTCCTAGTTGTAAGGCCTGCTGGTCTTCTCAGTTTCAAAATAGGAATCCTGCCTGCTGATGCACTATTGTCGTAGCTTGATGACTTGTTCTAAAGATGCCTTGCTTTGCGAGGGCAGTCCCAGGTTGATATTGACAGTGCCCTCTACTGCTCACAGATCTCTTGGCTTGGAAAATAACTGAGAGGACATCCTGCTGTTCACATGCCTTTCTACAGAACTGTCAGAAAAGGGCACTCTTTACTTCTCATTAGTAATAGCTTAGCATAAACATGCTTGGAGGGGCACATACAGTCAGGCAGTGAACATTTGATGAATACCCAGTATGTTCACAGAGCTGTTCAGTTGGCCTGTCAAGCTGTGATCTAAACACACTGAAGAGAATTTTACTTAAAAGGGGATTTGAGAAAGAGTTGATGAAAATGTGTCTCTTTACACTTCTCTAGGTTTACCTTACAAATTTGAAGTACAACAGATGTTAGAAGAACCTCAGTGGGAATTATTGTTGGAAAAGACAAAATGGATAATCGAAAAGTACAAACTTTCTCATAGGTATGTGCTGTGATTTGTGATACTCTGCATTGGCAGTCTTTCTCTTGATTCAGAGAAGGCAAAGCCTAGATTAAAAATAGAATACTGATGTCTGGCCTTAATGACAGCTTATTTCACAACCAACTGTATATTTATCTCATCAGTTTGTTCTCAAATTTCTTCCTATAGCAGCGTCCCCATGGATAGACTCTTTCGCCAGGATTCTGACCTAACTTGTCTGCAGAAAGTAAGTTGCCTTCATTTTTAATTGGTTTCATTATTCAGATTTCAAAGCTGGTCATCTTGCTGTGTTTTCCACTGTTTTGTGGGTGCATTTTCGATATTTCCTTTGTTGATTTACTTTGTAAAGTAGTGTGTTTTATTGACTAAGCATTTATATAGAAATGATTCCCTTTTAGAATACATCTATTAGTGTTAACTGATGATATACTTCTTAGCTGGTTATTATTGTGTAGAATGAAGAACCTTTTATTGTTCTTTAAACTTTATAAGTACCATATTACCTTTTAACCATAATGGTCAGTTGTTTTTAAAAAATATAGTATAAACATAATTTAAATTTAAATGGTCATTCCACTCTAACTTTGTACTTGAAAATTCTAAAGGTTTAGAATTTTTTTTGTGCCTCTGATTAAGATGACTAGACTGTTAGCATCTTTGGTTTGTTTTATTTTAGTCATTTGGGAATAATCCTAAAAAGTAAACATACTAAGCTATTTTTGATACTTTTTTCTATATTGAAAGACTAATTTGTGCATCCCCCAGACAACTGCCCAAGACCTGTGTTCTTAGTTCTCTGACTGGTTGGTTGGCTCCAGTTTGAACCTTGCACATGGTCTAGGCACTGTGCTTTATCCCCAGACCCATAGTCTTACATGCTTTGTTCTTTGTGTTATTTGCTTTTAAAACTTTGGAGATAATTTGGCTCTGCAAATGTAACTGCCAAAAGAGCCCAAATCACAGATTTGTACAAAGTAAGGAACATTCCTCGAACATGGCTTGTTTCCTGTGGAGTCATTAGGGAGCTAAATTCTAGCGATCCAGTTTGAGATTGGTGAGGACAGTGTTTCTCATTTGAGTATTAAGAAATCTGAGGTTTAAAAAGAAGTAATGACAATTATTCAAGCCCTCTTAATATTTAAGTATTTAACTATAAAACTTTTCTTTTCTACTAGCTTTTGGAGTGTCTAAGGAAAACACTAAGCAAAGTAGCCAATTGCTTCATCGCTGAGGAATTCTTGACTCAAATAGAAAATTTGTTCCTTTCCAATTACAAAAGCAAGGAAGAAAATGGACTGGCAGAAGAGAACAGTACAAAGGAATTGTTCATGTAATTATTTTAAAGTAATATGTTCAAATCTTACATGCTACTGTAAATAATTGAGATTTTAAAGCAATATAAATTGAATATTTTTTTTCTTTAATCCAAAAAACTCTGAACTTTCCCACATAAATAATGTGAGAGGAAGAGCGACTGGCTTGTTGTCATAGTGGTCATCAGGAGTGGTAGACCTTGCCTGTGCAGTGGCCCTGAGGGCATGACCTCTGGTCTGCTGTGTGGTGTGCAGCTTGACAACTAGAATATGGCCAAGCTTTGCTCTTTCTCCAAAGGAGTGTGTGTCTCACTTTGGCATCTTATCTCATGAGACATACTTACTTTCTTCCCATACGTTCTGGGGGTGAGATTTTTGTGTGTGTGTGTGTGTGTTACTTGGATGCTGCAGCCTAGGTGTGGAACAAGTTAATGTGGTTGAGAACTACTAATTAATAAATCTAACAGCGTGCTCTAAAAGGCCAACACAGCAAAAGGGAAACATCCTTAGAAATGTTTAGACAGGAGACCACAGGGGAGGAGAACCGATTTTCAGTCCGCTGTCTCTGCTTCAGTCTTATTGTGTACCACTATACTACAGGAGAGTCAGCCTCCTCAGAGATTTAAACAGTTAAATGAATTTCACAAGGGAAGTAATTAGCTCCAACTCTGTCCAGTTGCAGTAGCATGTGATAAAATCTCATTGAACTAGACTTGGTAATGTAACCCTAAGCCTAGCTTTTTTTCCCTACTGTCAGGAGAAAGAGACAAATTATAGTCAAGCTTAAATCAGATATTGTAATAGAAACAAAAAGACACCATCTAGTATTTTACATATTTAACCCAGTTTCATATACTTTCTAAAAGGAAAATTAAACTTTTCATGTAAAATTCAAATTGTTCATGTAATTATTAATGCATATTCCTGCTAGCTGGAGAACTGGTGTTTGCCCCTTGTTCAGACCTTCTTATTGGTGACAGTTTTGTTATACTGAAACTGATTGTGAGTGTAGAGTTTTCCTTTTTTTTCCTGTTGTTGTAGTTGTAGCCAAAGGAGGAGGCAGCGCTGGGTGGACTGACTACAGTCCTGGGTGGCCTGAATCAGATTTGGGCTGTGTGATTTGAAGAAATGAAGTTTGCTTTCTCTAGGCCAAGTTTGTTTCCGTAGCTGAGGCGAATCCAGCCCTGAGTGTTGTTGCAGCTCTGATCTACCTGCTGACTTGTAGGCTGTTCCTTTGGAACTTCACTTGAAGATCACATGCTTCCCAAATCAATGGGTAGTTTTAAAAGAAAACTAGCAGTTTTTGATTTCCCTCTGTACATTTAATATGAACAATGAAACATACTTTGTAAAATCCTCTTGAAGCCTGGAAGTATAAGGACTCCAGAGCAAAAAATCAGGCATCCCGAGCCCTCTACCTAATGTGCTCAAGCTTTGGTCCGTGACCATGATCCAGTCTCAGCTCTCTAACTCATCAGTTGAGATTCAAAGAGCTGAATTCTGTAACTTGGTGTCACTTCAAGCACAGAAGGCTACAAAGTCTGTGGCAATTCATTCCTTTGTGTTTTCCTTCCTCCTTGCCTCTCTTCATAGGCTGTTGGAACAGACCCAAAATGGATGATAATTAACTTTCTTGCTGTTTTCCTAGAATGTTGTTGAATTTAAAAAAAATTTGTTCTCAAATCTGGACTTTACACACTCCAATGGTTAACTGTATTCACTACCCTGAGCTATTCATTGTAAGGACTCAAGGGATGGCAGTAGTCAGAGTGTCGGGGCCTTGAGAACAAAAGTTTTTAAGCAACTATTGAGGAAAAAAACAACTATTTTCTATCTATAGAATATATTTGTAATTTATCTTATGAAATATTTTTAAATAAAGAGAAATATATACAAAGTGCAGAAATCTCAAACCTACTGTTGAGAAAATATTTTACATAGGAATTAAATTCTTAACCAGTTTTTAACAGCGTAAATTCAGAACATTCAGGGTTATTGTTTGTCTGTTTTTGTTTCCCATCTGTTCTCTGTGGTGCCTTCTTTTCTCTTGTCCTAGTGTCTACATGCTTTTGACAGCTGCAGATGGCCCCTCTGCCACCTTTGGCCTCCTGAGAATAGTTAGAGCCAAGACCTTAAAGATCACAGATGAGTCTGGAGCTTGAGGGGGCATGTAACACAGAAGTTCATGAAAAAAAAAAACAGGAAGGAAGGAAGAAACAAAGAAGGAAGGAAAGAAAAGTCCTTCCCAACAAGGTTTGCAGAAGTGGAGGACCAGAGACACCTGAGTCTTTTCATCCTAATTCCTGTTTTTATTGGTGCATACAACTGTAAGATGAGCTTAAATTTTGTTTCTTATTCTGATATAGCTAAGGAAACTTAATAATAGTACTTCTCCCATATTAGACTTACTGTTCTACAAAACTAACACTCAAGAAAACAAAACCAGTGAAACAAGACCAGTAAGGTAAAACCCCGGCCACCATTTAACTTGGCCATTCTTCTCCAGTTCTTTTAAATGTCAGGAACTGCCATTCAGAGAGCTGGTTTGGCCACGTGCTCAGTGCTCATGAGGTTTTAGGTACTAAGCACTTTTGCTTACTTGGACTCCTTCCATAGAGAATTTAAAATTACATTTTATAATTGTGTTTGTATAACATGACAGTATTCACATTTTGGATTAAAATATTCTTTTAATCTAAAACTTGGATTATTTTTCCTAATAAAATTAAGTAAAACATTTGTTATACACCCTTCAAAATTCCGAGAGTCTGAGACTGTCCCTGATGAATGTTTTGCTCTGCCTATGTGGGTTGTTCGAAAAATGCAACAGTATTCTCCATCCCTTACCATACCACTCAGTTATTTATTCCACTCCAGCCAGGAGCACAGCAGCTCCTCCTGTCACAGGCCTGGACATCTGAACTTCATTCTTTCCCATCCTAGACAGAACTCGGTGTGGCTCAGATCATTCATGGGTGCAGTAGTTAGAAATCAGTAGACAGGAATTTTTATTTTGGTTCCTACTTTTACACTGTGTGCCCCACTTCACAGGGTGAGGTCCCTTTCTTCCCTTTCATCTCAAACCTTTATATTCATCTGTTCTCACAGCTCATAGCTATAAGAGCTTTATATCATTCACTAAAAATAACTAAACAGAGCCACTCAGAAAATCCCTGCAGTTGTTTATTGTTTAGCATTGGCCCGGGCTTCTCCACAGAATGTTCCTTCTCTGAGGCTTGGGTAGGTGAGGTCTATAGCATGCAGACTGTAAGCACATTGGGCTCTCCATTTCTTAGGACAGAGAAAGTGGCAGCCTCAGGATTCCAGTCTAAGCCATCTACTGCTGTATAATTTACCTCTTTAGTGTACCTTTTCCTGTGTACATTGCTGAGTCCTGACGGAAGGCACTGGAGAAGCCAATAGAAACTGTACGCCCTCTGCTCTGTGCTCTGCTCTGTACCAGCAGAAAGCACCTGCTTGTAATACACACTTGCAATTCACCAGCAGACATCCCATGTGGATTTCTCATCAGTAGGAGAGGTGGCTCCCCAAATTTCCCTTTTTCTACTTACCAGCAAGGCACGTAATCTGGTGTCACATGACATGGCATGGAGGAAAGCACTCCACAGAATCACAAGAAAAGCACATACGTTTTGATGAATATAGACTCTTATCAGCGTTAACAAACTTAACAACGAAACTTCGTCTCTAGTTTCACATTTGTTAATAATGCTCTTATGACAATATATTTTGTAATATGTCCAGAAAAATCAGAATAATGTAACATCCTTAGATGATTATCTCCTGACATTTTTGGAAAAGTTTTATGCATGCTTTCATTACCTGTAACTGCTTTTTGGCATCTCTTCTACCTCATTCCCTTATTCCCCCCACCAAAATCAGGAGGAAATAAAAGCATCCAATAAGAACTTAAAAGGTTCTAAATGAAACTAAACTTTAAAGCTGAAATTAATTCACAGCATCTGGGTAGCTTTTGTTTTTGTTCTTTGCTGTTTCTGTCATATATTCATGTGAGTTCCACGGAAAATGCCTGTTTGTTGTCTCTGAGGTTTCCTAGTAGCTTTTCCAGAAATCCTTAAATATGTTCTCACAGTTCATATTTCCTGTTTTATGTATTATCATAAAACTGAGACCTGCATGGTGGTGCACACCTTTAATCCCAGAACTCAGAAGCAGAGGCAGGAGGATCTCTAGAGTTTAAGGTTAGCCTGGAACAGGACTATATAGTAAGACCCTATCTTAAAAATAAAACAAAAAGATCGTCTGCTTTAGCATATGAATTCTAAAATTGTAATTATATTTTAGCATGACTTATGTAGCTGAGTCTTATATTACCTTTAAATGTGTAGATTGGTGTTGACTTGCACAGTTGTGTTGTATATAAGATACTGCATGACAGTTGATGAACTTGTTGCTTTTTCCCATGATAGTAACAGTTTTGTGAATTTTTTCACTATGCATTTACAGTGTTGTGTAACAATATGACTTAAAACTATTTTATACATTTAAATGTTATGTTGTATATATCTACATTAAAGAGTATTATAAATATCAGTGTTTGTAAAATTATAAAAGATTTTCCCAAAAATATAAACTCATCTTTCCATACTTTCTTGTGATATATTAAAAATACCAATTTTAAGCTTTGACATATTATCTTGTAGTGAAAGCTAAGGAAAAACATGCTGTCAAGTCAATGTAAGCAAAATTTTGAAAATAAAACAGGTGGTTTTTGATGTCTTTGTAAATTATTAGCAATATGTTATTGAATTACAAAAAGAAGGCACTATCTTAGTTACCTTTCTGTTGCTGTAACAAAACACCATGACCAAGGCAACTTACAAAAGAGAGTATTTAATTTGGGATTCACAGTTGGATCCAGAGGGTCCATGATCATCACTTCAGGGAGTATGGCAGCAGGCATTGGAGCAGTAGCTGGGAGCTTATATTCCTTATCCCAAGCATAAAGCAGGGAAAGAGAATGTATGTAATAGGCTCTAGAAACGGTAAAGCCTACTCTTGTGTGTCACCTCCTGCCTACTAATCATTCCCAAACAGTTTTCAAATGTATGAGCCTGTGGGGCCTTTCAGGAACATTCATACACCACAGCTACATTAATTCAGCCAGGGTTTGTTGAACATCTCTTACACTGCTCACAGTCAGGGACACAAAGATCAGCAAACCATACCTTCTTTCTAAAAGAATCTGATTAGTGAGAAATCTAATACAAGCTGCAGTTGGTTATAGAATAGGCAAGTGTCAAGTAGTGAAGGGTGGTGAGAATTCTCTGGACTTGAAGCTGTGAAATCAGTGCCTTTAGAAGAACTACCCGGCAGGATTTGATTATAGGACGTTTAGGAGATGTTGGAAGTGGCTTTAGCATAACTGGATGTTAAAAACGTATTTTGATTGGAGAGAAGGGTGTATGAGAACGGTAGTCGTGAAAGCAGCACACAACCAGCCCACTCAGTTTTCAGTTAGAGAAAATACAAAGTAGAGGCCAGTGAGGTAGTAAAGGCATCCGCTGGTGATCCAAGAGCCACGTAGTGGAAGGAGAACCAACTCCTGCTGTTGCCCTCTGACCTCCATCCACCATGTCAAATGCTGATGCACGCATGCACACAAAACATTTTAAAATGTTTTCAAGAAAGTAGAAAGTGAAACTCTCACCCCAAAAAATCAGTGTAAAGTGTAAATATTGGTTTAACTGATTTTGAACATTCCAATTTTTTCTAAGCATGTAAGAAATTATATATTTTATATAAAGTAAGGTAATATCTTTATATTATCTTCATTAAAAACACCCACGTAGAGATGTAGCTCAGCATTAGCTTGCCAGATGTGTGAGATCTTGGAAGATCCGTCCATAAGTACGTGTGGCATCCTGTGCTGTAGTCTGTCCTAGTGCATCTGGTAGTGTACAGTGGATAATCACATTGTTCCCATGTTTCTACTACAGGGGTTTGGTTTGGTTGTTTTATCTTCTGTCAGTACTTGCAGGAGAGATAGCTAGTGATTGCTAAGCCAACAGCTTTATTTCTTTTAAATTTTTTAGTGTCTTGGAAAAGCTTTTATTTTTTTATAGTAATTTAAAGTCATGTACCCAAATAAAAACAATGATTTATTTACAAGATGTAAGGAAATCCTGAGAGTCTTAACTCCATAAAGCATGTATTTTAATGTTGGGAGCCGACTCTGAGCCGAAAGCAGCTATTATCTTTGCAGCCATCTTGAGCCATATACCCTGACAAGAAACTTGTTTACAACCGCTGAGCACACTCTGATAATTATCTTGATCCTTTCAGTCAAGGCCAGGCAGTGGTACCACACGCCTTTAATCCCAGCACTTGAGAGACTCAGGAGAGATATAAAAGGAGCAGTCAGAGGCAGTCAGAGTCAGAGCAGATAGACTTCGTCTCCAGACAGACTCAGACTAGACAGACCAACTCAGAGCAGATAGACTCAGAGCATACAGACTAGACTAGACAGAGAGACTAGACCGAGACAGACCCAGACAGAGTCAGAGAAGACAGACTTGTCTCCAGACAGAGTCAAACTAGTCAGACTAGACAGACTAGTCAGAGTAGCAGACTTCGTCTCCAGAGCAGACTCCGTTTCGAGCAGGCAGATTTCGTCTTTGACCAGACTTCATCTTGTCTCTATTCTTCGCGTCCCTGTCCCCACTCTCTCTCCTGCTCCCTGACCCGCGGACCAGAGCAGCAGAACGGCTCCTTACATTTCAACAATAGTTCATTCTCTATAAAGCTATTAGGGATTCTTACTGATGAAGCATTTGCTTTAACTTTCTGACTGCAGCCATGGTGTTGGAGGCCACCACTGTCTCACAGTCTTGTTTGTGTGTGAATGGTTTTCTGCATCACTGAACCTTAAGTCTATCATTCTTACAGAATGCTGGTTTAAACACAGGTTTGTACTACATACATATTCATTCAGAATCTTGCATTTTCAGAAAGATGTACTAAAATAGAATGCTTGTTTTTGTCTTCCGTATTTTTCCTATTATCCTACTAGACATATTAGGGCATAAAGGATTTAATGGGTCTTTGTAACGGCCCGTTCTGCTGCTCTGGTCCGCAGGTCAGGGTCTAGCAAGAGAGAGAGTGGGGATGGAGTGAGCGAGAGACGCAAAAGATGGATACAAGACAGAGTCTGGTCAAGTCTCTTTTATTGAAAGGAAGGTCCTGGGTGTTTATACCCTTTACCACATGACTTGCCCTCATGGACAAGCTCAACTGAAGGCACTACATCACGTGCCTTGTAGTCATGGATACCACGTACACCTTGCAGCTAGAGGCACTAAACAGTGTAACAAGATGTTTATCAGAGTGTGCTCAGCTGTTGCGGGCTGTTGAAAAAACAAGTCTCTTGTCAGGGTATATGGCTCGAGATGGCTGTAAAGATGATAGCCGCTTTTGGCTAAGAGTTGGCTCCCAACAGGTATTGTTATTGGGGGTATGGGGGAGGGCAGTGTAGCTGGTGGGTAAATCAAAACTAAGTTACATGGGAAAACCTTGTGGAAACCCACTAGTTAGTAAGCTAATTTCAAAATGCAAGTTTAAAAGAGGGAAGTTGAACAGGATTACCCTGCATTAATAGTGCCACTTCTAGAAGTCATATGTTATTAAACTAAGATTGCAGTATAAGACATGGGATGGCTCCCTATGAGTTAATTGATCAGGGAGGCTCCAGAAGTCTCCATAATAGCACAGGCCATGGCCACTGTTCATCGTCACTATAGCAACATGGTAAGACTGTTGCTAAGCACACACTTTGAACAGGATATCAAGAAATCAGTTTCAGTTGAGTAGAAGACTTTTTCCCTACTCACCCATCTTCATAGTACCTGAGGTGCTGTGTAGCCCTGAGGGGTGAGGAAAGACACCAGTAGTCTCACCCCATGATGAACTCTGCATGAATCCGTATTGACTTGTCAATGTGGTAGTTTGAATAGTAGTGTCCCCCCCCATACGCTTATAAATTTTAATACTTGGTCCTCTGTAGGTAGAAGTGTCTGGGAAGAATTGGGAGGTGTGTTATAGGGAGTTTTGGGGGAGTGCTTTGAGGTTTCAGAAGTCCATGCCATTCCCAGTGAGCTAACTGTCTCCTTGCTTGGGGATAAGGTATATAAGCTCTCTGCTACTGCTCCAGTGTCATGCCTACCAGCCTGCTGCCATGCTTCCTACTCTGATGCTCATGGACTCAGCCTCGGAAACTCTAAGTCCCCAATAAACTCTTTTTCTGTAAGAGTAATTTAATGTAGGAATTTGGATACTTGGCAAGGGGTGGGAAGGTCTGGTTTCTGGTCTAGGATTCAGGAATGACTATCCGGTAATTCTTACTAACCTTAACTGGCAAAATTAGAACCCCGAGGCCACCAATAGGGCCTGTTGGAATTAAAGCTTTATCACTTCTGCAATGACCACTGCTTCTGCTGCCTCTGACACCAGGAAGCTGTTGCTATGACGATTCACAAGCCAACCAGATAGCTTCCTCACTTGCAGATGAATGGATTCCTGAAGGCATTTACACAGAACAAACCACAGCACAGCATCCTAAGAGAGTTAGAAGGTTATTTCCCTGCCATGCAGATCTCTTAAAGTGGTGACTTTCCTGTGGGTTACTACCCCTTTGTGGGGCAAATGACCCTTTCACACGGGTTGCCTAAGACCATCAGAAAACACATTTTTACATTACAGTTGATAAGAGTAGCAAAATTAGTTATGATGTAGAAACAAAATAATTTTTTTGGTTGGGGTTCACCACAACCAAAGAACTGTATTAAAGGGTAGCAACATTAGAAAGGCTGAGAACACTGTTTTAAAGGAATAACTCAGCAGTGGAACTCCATTAGCATGCAGAACTCTAGTGTGGGAACCAAAGTTGTTAGTTTCCCAACTATTCCAACTAGAAGAAAGCATAATACAGGTAGAGCTGGGCACACAGCTCTTTGTAGGATGCTGTATATGAAGGCTTACTAAGCAGGATACATCTACTTTATAGAGAACAGGCCACTTAAAAAGTCATGGCTGAGCTCAGTACACTGGGGCAAGAAGGCACAAGTCTCTTAGATCAGATGAGAATGGGGGTGTGGACAAAGGAAATAGTCAAATGTCTGTCTTGGCCTTGACCATGAAGTTGGGTCTGATGTGGACACAAAACTATCACTAAAAATAATAATAATCGATTCTTAAGAAAAAAACGGTACACTTAACAATGTAAAATTAAAATTTGATGTGGTGAAATAAAAATTCAGGCAATAAAATAAGCAAAATATTTGAAGTTGAGACAGTTAAAAGCTGCAGTATATGAAAAGCTCATTCAACAAATAAGATTGAAGATTCGACTTTAGCAGTTCACTTGAGTGCTTTTCCATACTTTGGTGAGTTGTGCATGCTGTATCTCTATGAGGAGGGCCTTTTCTTTGCTGGCCACTTGGAGCCTTTGAATAATTCATTAGCATGCTTCCCTCTCTGGTGGATAGAATCGTGTATGGCCAGACTGCCCTTGAGGCTATGCACCCATCTCCCCAGCTGCCAGGGGTATTGCATTTTGCCCAGGAAGTCAATGTCAGCAGAAAGAAGTCACCTTACCTCAAATTATATGACTCTTCCCCAGGACAAGCCATCCAATGAGTGGGAGCCCTTCCTCGAGGGCAGCTTAGTAAAAACAGCTCCAGAGATGTTTGTGAGATTGGATGGGGTCTATGCTCAGCTTTTTCCGTGTCCA